TTTATTTGCAAATATTTGGGGAATGTTACGTATACGGAAAATTAACATAATTACCGCCTGCAACCCTTTTTTCAGGATGGGGCTGTGCAGGTAGTCAAGGCAACGCCTCCAGGACGATGAGCCCTCCGCCAGAAAGCCCCAAAAATACGGCATCGTAATAATTTCTTTGCATTTGCGTTTTACGAGGAGCCAGAGATACAGAAAGACAGAGTTGGTGTGGCTTTAGCAGCCCACCCGTCCAATTTCCCCACGCGCAACGCATAAATTTACTTGTTAAACAACCCACCGAGCCACCCACCTTGGGCGGCCCATTGGCGTGAGTTTTGAGTGGTTGGGGGGTTGGGTGTTGGGGTGGCTGGGGTTTTTTAGGAGGGGTTACCAGACCCGAGCCCCTGGGCTCAACCGCAACCCAGCTGCTGCTCATCAAAGTTGCATGGGTTGGGAGGCGGGCGAACCGCTGGCGAAAGTAAAACCAAACAAAGCATGCCAAAAATTATCTCGGTCACTTTTCAAATACACGTTCTGAACAACCTCCCCCAAATTTCCTTTTTAAGGGGCTCAGTGTTTGGAATGGAAGTTTGTGCACTGAAAAGAATACAATCAAATGAAAGGGCTTTAAAAGTAATATGGTACTCTGAATTGTATTTCTCAATTCCTTAATATACATTTTAAAAAGTTATCTCGATGCACTTAAAAATATAGTTAATTCGTCTCAAAATTGTAGTGCTGGATATTTTTTACGGTGCCTTGGAATTCCTGGTCCAACGCTCCCACCACAGATCCGCTTTTGTTCCCTGCCGTTAGTTCAGAGTTCAGACCTCCGATTTTTCCATTCATGGGGTCAACGGTTCCGTCTCGCGACTCCGCTTCGTCGCTTTTCCGACCCACTTTCAAGTTTTAAGTATATGTATACAGTGTTGTAGAACCCATACTAAAGCACACACCCCGTCCCCCAGCAGGACAAGTTGACAACACTGTTTACCTAATGTACCGTTAAGCTGCGCACTTGATGCCGTTATCTTTGCGCTCTTTGTCCCTTTTCCGTCAGCATGGAAATTATTTTCTTAATTTGAGGGCAACAACGGAAAGTTTGGCGCTGACTTTAAAGAGCTTTACAATGTTTTCACAGTCGCCCCTTGTAACTTAGTCTTGCATAAAGTGAAGCTCTCTTAACCTATTTAAAATCATTGTTATCCCAGAAGTATAGATTTAAACCAAAGTGAGATTAAAATAATAAATCTAAACGTAATTTTTTAGAACGTGAGTGAGCGGGGTTTATTTTTAACTAATTGTAAAACTTTCTTATTCTAATTTCAAACAACGAAAATAAATCCGGATATACAAAGAGGTAATCCTTAAACTATAAGAGGCTTAAAAGTTTAAAGCTTGCTTTAAATTTGGGTTTGAATTTCTTTAAACTTGGTAGGAAAATGAAAACGGAAAACGCTAGTTACGTTAAAGTATACTATTTATATTTACATTGTAAACTCAAATTCCCCGCTGCACCAATTTTGGTATTATTGAATTTCGACCGTGGAACATGTATGCCAGCATCGATTTTAAACTGTTGACTGGACGAACTTTGGCAGTTCGTAAAAGTTTTTTCATTTGCCGGGGCAAACAGCAATAACACCAGAGCCGTAATGGCAATGAGCATGAAAATCATAATAATAACCGAGGGAAACAAAAGCGAAAAAGTTATAAACTTTGTTACTGCTGTTTATGATGTCCTGGGGCTTATTTAATCGATAATGCCGAATGATGTCCTGGGCACATAAGGCGCAGAAACCAGTAAGCAGCTCCAGTTTCAGTTACCTGAGGAATATCCAAGTGTGGTGGGTTCGGGGGTTGTGGGTTGGGGGTTGGGGTTGCATGGCCTTGAAAGGGGCGAGGGAAGTGGCTGCTAAGGGACAGTAAAGGATTTCATTGCCGTCACTGAGCTCGGCAAGGTGAAATTGCCGAGCGTGGCGAAAGGCCGACTGGGAAAACCTTCGCCAGCTTCACACGCATGCCACGCCTAATGCACCGCCCACAACCACAACCCCTTTTTGCAGGTTAAGGTCATCAGCGGCAGCAGTAGAAGCAGCAGCAAGAGAAGCAGCAGCAGCAGTAGCAGTAGCAGCTGCAGCAACGTTTGCCGCAATTTTATGCTGCAGACATCTGCATTAACAATGGCAATGAAATGCAGGCAGGGCCGGGCGAAGCGGCCTCCTTCTTTCCGTCCGTGACGTTTAGCCGTAAACGGATTTATAGCAGCTGTAACGGCTGCCGTGCTGCAGATTCCGCCTTGAAAGTGGGCGGCATTTCAAGGCCGCTCTCCTGGCACTCGTTTATGTTGCCATTATTTTTAATCCGACGTATTCGGAGGGCATGTGGAGAATTAGCGCAAGAGGCATTTGCCTTAAATGCCGCGAATTTGTGTGCCACTAAAGAAGAAACTACTAAAAAATGCTGGCACAAAGGCATTTCTTTTCGGCATGAAGCACTACTTGAGTGGTGCTCGAGAAAAACATTGACTATGGCTGGAATTCTTAGTCAGTGTCAGCAAAGATGAAGGTCAATAGCAGCGGCAATCTATCCGAATCGGCAGATATGCAAATTCAAGTTCGCGCCAAATAAATTATTCAAAAAGCTGATGCTGGTTTTGGTGCACTTATTTGCGATTCTTTGAATCGCACTTTGATTTGGTTGCCAATAAAGTGTATTATTTAATATATAAGACACAGATATACACATGCCTATGCCTTGAGCTAACTAAAAAAATATATTTTTTCTTTTCATTGAAACACCACAAACAACAATCAGTAAATTTTTTTATAAACCTCATTATTATTTTTAAAAAATTTAAAATTCCCGCCCATTTAATTCAGTTTTTTTTATTGGAGCCTGACGCGGCTAATTAAAGGTGGTCCGTTCGCTTACGTTGGATTTTGTCTTCGCTAGGTTGGGAGGTTTAATCCGCTAGGAGGGTGTATCTGCTAACTTAAAAAACTACTCGATTCTTGTCGATATGATATCGATGTTTCATCAACTTCGGCTCATCCCTAATCTTCCGTCCTTTTCTTTCTTTCTTTTTCCATCAACATGGCTGATCAGGTAGGATTTCGCTACGGCGTGCTAACTAAATGAAATAGGCGTAAAAAACGGCGGACAAATAACCAACACACGATGACGGAGGCCGTATAAGTGAGCTGTAGGTGAACGCGACGCCGGAGAAGCGATGGGCCACCTAGGAGTGAACCATCTAGAGCAGCCTCACCCTAACCCCACTTTAGCGCATGGTGTCTCCAGTAGTGAACCAAATTGTATGTTGCAGCAAACCGAGCGCTCGTTCCGCAAACAACACGCGGTGGTCGTTGTGCGCCGCAAGAGCCCTAACTTAAAGAAGAAACCCCGTTTCTACCGCCAAATCGGCCTGGGCTTTCGGGCTCCGGCGGAGGTAAGAGGTTCCGAGCAAACCACGACTAATGTTGCGCCCCTTTGTTTCCGTTTCATTTCCTGCACGCTGAATGCTTGATCCAAAATCAAAACGACTTCCCGCACACACCCCGTACACGAACATTCCGAAATGATCCCGAACTAACCAGAACGAGCGCGCCTTCCAAAAACAATTCGGTGTCAACCTAAACCGCAAGGTTAAGCCCGGCATCACCAAGAAGAAGCTGCTGCGCCGCTCCCGCGATGTGGGACTGGGCTTCAAGACCCCCCGTGAGGTGATGCCAGGATATAAATCCCCTTTGGAATTCCTAGAGTTTCCCAGCTAATACTTTTGTTTACCCTCAAATCCACAGGCCATCGATGGCACCTACATCGACAAGAAGTGCCCCTGGACCGGTGATGTGAGGATCCGTGGACGCATCCTGACCGGTGTTGTCCGCAAGGCCAAGATGCAGCGTACCATTGTCATCCGGCGCGACTACCTGCACTTTGTGCGCAAATACAGTCGTTTCGAGAAGCGTCACCGCAACATGAGCGTTCACTGCTCTCCAGTTTTCAGGTAAAAATCATAATACAAGATGAGTCTTGAATCAGATTTTACATCTTTATGGTTGTCATTTAACACTATAAATTGTAAAGTCTGACCTTAAACCCTACAATCTGATGATAAAATCATGACGGTCTTCATAAAACAAATTGCTGAAAGAACTTGACTCTTTTTACTAAATGTAAAAATACTGAAATTAAAACTAAAACCCCAGCTTTTTTATTCTGTTGTAACATCCTTCTAACTTATGTTTATTCTTTTCTTGCAGGGATGTTGAGCACGGCGATATTGTCACCATTGGCGAGTGCCGTCCTCTGTCCAAAACTGTGCGCTTCAACGTCCTGAAAGTGAGCAAGGGTCAGGGAGCCAAGAAGAGCTTCAAGAAGTACTAAGACGGACAACTACCATTCGGGCGATAATATTTGTAGCAGTTATTCTTTTTGAATAAACAAAAAAAAAAACAGTAACTTTATCAATTGGTTTTTCACAGTCTTCTTTTTACAGCATTTCAGAAAGCGAGCGTAAGCAACTCCTCTAAAAGGTGTGTACAAGAATATTTTATGAAATTTTATTAAAATCTGCATTCTGATGATAAAATCATGACGGTCTTCATAAAACAAATTGCTGAAGAACCTTGACTCTTCTCACAAAATGTGAGAATACTGAAATTTATCAATAGAATTGTTGATAGACCCGAAATTAACAACTCCCTTCTAATAATAATTTTTCTTTTTGCAGAGATCAAGACGACGAAACTGATCAAGGGACTTCAATAAATTGTATTTATTCAATAATTTAAATGATTACATTAAATAAAACAAATTGAAACTTTAAATTAACTGTTTTTTTCCTTTTGATGTCCAAAACATGGTTTTGACTTTTCAACTTGGGTGTTTGAAACTATGGGATCTAATTATTTAAACTTTGCGGCTAGTTTAAAGTGTTGCGAAGCTTAACAAAGTTCCATTGCCAAAACTTGGTGCAATTTGCCGCACACCAACTGGTAACACTAAAACTGAACAACAAAAACAATCAACGAAAATGGAAACTGGACCAAATGCAGAAATTGGTAAAAATTATAATTTGCACTGTTTCGAGCGATTTGAGTGCATATTTTGCGACCATTGGAGCCAGATAAAATGAGGAACCGGTTGCAGACAAATTATACTAGACACCAATTCTATTTCACCGCTTGCAGAGCTTTTGGAGCGCGTCCTGTTGCGTCTGGGAAATGCGGACTCGGACGAGAAGCTGGGTGCCACAGTGGGCAAGTTCCTGACCCCAGTGATCCTCAAAATGAACTCCCCCCACAATACGGTGCGCAACAAGGCAAGTAAACGGCCAGCCAATGGTCAGCTGTGGGTTTCCTACCCCCTTCAGACATCGTGACTATGCACAATTGGCCGGCTGACTAATGCAGTTTTCGCGTATATGTAGGTCGTTGAAGTGCTCACCCACATTAAGAGACGCCTCTCATCGCGAGGACAGGTCCAGATTCCCGTGGAGGCACTGCTGGATCAGTATGCCGCCAAGGAGAGCAGCACGTTCCTCAAGAACTTCGCCATAATCTTCATCGCCATGGGATTTCCGCGTCTGCCACTCGAGGAGCAGACTGCGCTTGCTAGCAAACTGGTAGGATGCGAGGACAAGCTAGAGAGCTACCAGGACAAGCTTTTTGCCCTGCTGCTGCCCATACTGTCCGACATGAAGATACCCGACGATCCAGCGCAGCGAGCGAAGCTTTTGGATCTGCAAGACAAGCCGGGAATCAGTGTGAACTTCTTGAACTTGCTGCAGGACGTGCTTTTACTGCCGTACGGTATTACCCAGGAACAGGATGTTCCTCCAGGACTCAGTCCCTATAGTTTTAAGCGCATCATCACCAACAATTGGCGGGCAGAGGAGCTGGAGAAAGTCAAGAAGGGTATAGTTCGTTTTCTGTGCGCCAGTGTCTTCAGCGATGTGCAGATCTTCGTGCCCCTAGTCGTTGCCTCGGCTGACACCCGCTTTAGCGTGGCCACACCAGCGATCGCGGAGTTGAGCAAGCTCTGTACCATGCTGGACTTCAGTAATCCAGCGGTGACCGCCCCCTTGTACACTCTGTTCGCCGGCAATCAGAACAAGTTGATTGACCGCCAAACACGACCATGCTGCGCTCGAGTGCGTCAAAAGCTGCTGCAGTACCTAATCAAGTGTCGCGGCAAGAGCATTAACGTAAGCAAGGGCCTACAGGTGATCTTCGATGGCTTGTTCGGAACAAACACCAACCAAAAGTGCAAAGTGCTGGCGCTGCAGTTTGTGGAACTGGTTCTCAGGGAGTAGGTTTATTTGCTATACATTATATAGTTTTACCTAATTACCAAATCCTCCTCTTTCAGTGGTCCACGCGAGTTGGTCTCTAAGGTATCTAAGGTTATACTCACTGGCATCACCAAAGTCATTGGTCGCGACTCCACCGAACCGAATGATGTGCAGAATGCGGCATATTCTGCTCTGGCTCAACATGCGCGCAGTTTCCCGCAGGACGTAAGCCAGGATCTGAAGCTGGTCCTAGGATACTTCAATAACCTGGCAAGCTGTGCGCCGGAATTGCATTCCTCTATCAGGGAAGCATTAGTTTCCATGGCTCCGGCATTCGCCTGGAAGACAAAGGAGAAGAGCGATGCAATGGAGGTAGATGAGGATACCGATCCCTCCACCGTAAAGTTGGACGGCCAACAGCATCTACTGTTGGCCATGCTGCTGGACAATGCCGAGTCCAAGATACAGATCGTGCAGAACGTGACCAGTGTGTTCTTGACCAGCTGTTACCCGGAGTATTATGCACCAGCCAGATACCTGTTGCTACTCATCGCAGGCGAGCGGTAAGTTGATGTAAGGGGAATCATTTTTTTACTTTACTATAATATGCTTTGTTTCCCTCAGCAATTCTCTGCGAGAGAATGTGACCACTTTTTTGTATGGAACCTCAAAAAAGGATCACGTAAACTACAATATGCTCTCCTCCATTGAGCAGGCAGAAAACCGCATAAACAGCGAATCTATTAGCGACTTCAATCACCTGTCCCTAGAACAGCGACGAGTGGTGCTGCCCAGCTTTCAGGTGATGATGGCGCACGTTCACGAGATGGCCAACAAACGACTGAAAAAGAGCACTTCCTGCGTGGTAGTTGGACGCACCAAACTACCCTACAGTCTGGAGGTCTACGAGGAGCTGCTTGATTATCTACGCCTGTGCCTCTGGTATTCGGCTGGTGTTGTGGCGGCTCCCGGCGACGAGAAGTACACCAACGAGTTGCGCAAGTACATCACTCTGCATTACGAGGAAGCGGAGGACAACGCTCTGCATCAGTATGTGCAGTTTGTTCAGCGAAGTGTGGAGGCCAAGAGAAGTATGTGAGCAGCAAGTTTTCATTGAAATCCAATTGAAATTTTTTCGATTTCTAGGTGACTCCAATCTTGTCTGCCTTTATGACCTTCTGAACGCGGCTCCGGAATTGTTTGCTGCAAAGCAACTTCATCTGCTGGAGCCTCTTGGCAACACTTTGAAAGATGTCTCCGAGAGTATGCGCATCAACGTGGCCCAAGTCTACGCTATTCTGTGGGCTTTCGGTCTAACCGACGAAAAGTTCGACGAGGAAGTGGGTGACTGCTTGAACAGCCTTACACAAAAGACATTGGAGCACAAGCATGGCTGGCTTCTGGTGGTGGGCCACACATTCAATCGGAAGATTGTTATGCTCAAGCAGGCAAACAAATCCAAAGACTTTGCCGCCTGGCCGCAGTTTGTTAATGCGGTGAAGATAATCTGTAAGTTACGTCACTAGCTTTGGGAAAATTTGAAATACTTACGATATTTTCTTATTAGCAAAAACCCTCTGTGAGTCGCAATGGCTTCTTGTGTCGGCGGCCGTAAAATGCATCTCCATGATCGGCAAGACGGTGGAGATTCCAAATGTCCCAGTGGAGATTCAAGTCCCTACCAACGATGGAGACGACGACGAGGAAATGACGGAATACACGAGCATTGATTCTTCCACCAAGCTGGTTATCTTTGGAGTTGTCTTTCAATTGTTACGCAGCTCCTCGGCGCGTCAAAAGATACGTGAGGAGTCAGCCAGATGTCTGGGATACTTGGCCATCGGCGATGGTGAGCACTTCACCAAGCGCAACCTGGATAAGTTTCTTACCCTGGCCAAGGTGCAAAAGGATGCTGCTCTGAACATAGCGATTTCGGAAGCTATTGTAAACACCCTCTGTGGCTATGATGTTAACAAGGGGCAACCGGATGAGAAGTTTGTCAATAAGCATTGTACTGACGGGGACTTTGAGCAGTTCTTAAACTCGCTAATACGCCTTGTCACCGAACCCAATCCTCACTCCCGCCAGGCAATTTCAGTATGGCTTCTAGCCGTGGTGAAGCATTGCAGCAAACGTCCGGCTGTGTTGGCCAAAAAAGAGCTGTTGCAGTTTGCATTTACCGAACTTCTTTCGGACGATAGCGGTAGGTTAACAAACAACTTATTCAATCTGTTTCGTGAGAAAAAATGTTTGCTTGTTTATCTCCTCTAGAATTTGTGCAGGATGTGGCTTCACGCGGCTTGGGACTCGTCTACTCTCTGTCGGATTCCGGCAGCCAAACCGATTTGGCCAATTCGCTTTTGGATCAGCTCATTGGTGGAAAGCGTAAAGTAAATCAGGTGTCCGCGGATACTGAACTCTTTGCGGAGGGAATGCTCGGCAAGACGCCCACGGGAGGCAACATCACAACCTATAAGGAGCTTTGCTCCCTGGCTTCAGATCTCAATCAGCCGGACATGATCTACCAGTTCATGCAACTTGCCAATCACAATGCTACTTGGACTAGCAAACTGGGGGCTGCCTTTGGATTGAAAACCCTTTCCGCTGAGTCCAGGCAAAAGATGCAGCCCTACCTGGGCAGGATTATACCCCGTCTGTATCGCTACAAGTACGATCCTACGCCCAAGATCCAAAACTCGATGATCTCGATTTGGGACACAATTGTGAGCGACTCGAAAGAAGTGACTGAACGCTATTACTGGGAAATTATGCGTGAGCTGTTGGACAATCTCACCTATAAGGAGTGGCGTGTGCGCATTGCCTGCTGCCTGGCAGTCAGGGATCTTCTAAAGCGGCCGAACGGGCTGAAGCTGCGCTCTGAGGAGCTGGGCCGCCGTGTTCCCGCACCCAACAGCATGGAGGTCGACGAGGTGCCTGAGCCGGAGCTGAAAGAGCTGTGGGTGCAGTTATTCCGTGTGATGGACGACATTCATGAAGGCACGAGGGTCACGGCCCACGGAACTGCCTCCTTCCTGGGCAAGCTGTGCGTTATCGCCTCGTCCTCGGATCATGGGAAATCAGGAACAGCAGTGGCATCCTCGACTCTTCCTTTTCTTCTGGAAACCGGAGTGGGTCACAAGGTGGCCGAGATCCGCAAAGTGAGCATCAAAACCATCTCGGACATGATTGACTCCTCGGGGGAGCTCATTGCTCCGCATCTCGTCACCCTGATTCCCTGTCTGCTGCGCGCCACTGGCGAGTTGGAGAATACAAAGCTCTCCTACGTTTCCACTCGCTTGGGGGCGGACAACGAGGCCCAGGAGGCGGTGGATACGCTTCGGGCGGAGGCTGCCAAGTCACACCACACAATGGAAACCATTGGCAAGTGCGTGCGCTACATCGACTATCCAGTGCTGGAGAAGATGACCCCCGAAGTGCTGGAGCTGATGAAGTCTAGTGTGAATCTCGGAACAAAAATTGGTTGTGCTCATTTTGTGTGTCTGGTATGTTTATCGGTCATTACATTTTAATAATCTTTACTTTATGTATTGACTGCATTTCAGATAAGCATCCGTTTGGGCAAGGAGATGACCCCGGTGGTAGGCAAGTACATTCGCGCCTGCTTTGTGGGCATCAAGGATCGCAATGCCACCGTGCGCAAGTACAACGCCAGTGCAATTGGACACCTTTTGGGCTTGGCCAAGGAGCAATCGATTAAGAGCCTGTTTGCCAAGCTGGACGAGCTGTATGCTGAGCAGCCTGGTAACCGCTCCATTGCCCTGACCATTCAGTCTATTAACAAGCGTCACCACGAACTGCTCAAGGACTACATGGACAGCATGATTCCGCTGATCTTCTTTGCCATGCATGAAGAGGTCAGCGAGGAAACCAGGGCAAATGTTGAGCTGTGGAAGGATTTGTGGAACGATGTCAGCCCAGGGGATGCGGGCATCCGACTCAATCTGAATGTGATTATTCCCAAACTGGAGACGTCTCTTACCGATGCGAGTTGGTCACGAAAGGCTCAGGCAGCGAATGCCATCCAGACCATCGCCACTCGACTAAGCAGCTCTTTAGATGAACCCGATCGGATCAAACTCATTAAGCTGCTGCTCTGCGGCTTGCAAGGCCGAACTTTTGAGGGCAAGGAGCGTCTGCTGCAAGCGTTGGCCGGACTCACCAAAGGATTAGATCGAAGCCACCAAATCTGCTCCAGCATCATCGATGCGGCCATGAGGGAGGCGAGGAAGCGGGAACCCGTTTATCGCACCATGGCCCTCGCATCTCTGGGCGAAATCCTCGATCAACTGGAGGCTGACCGCTTTGAGGAGGTGTACAACATGAGCTGGAACCTTCTGGAGAAGAAAGAGCTGCGCAAGGAGTCCGACGACGAGGATGAGCCTAGCACCAGCCAGGAGCTGAGTGCCGACGAGCGCAACAAGAGGGCTCAAACACTAAACCGACTGAAGGAGGTGGTCTGGGAGACATTGGGCAAGTCGTGGCCACGTCACTCCATCGAGACGCAGCATCGCTACCAGCTCTTCTTCGCCGAGAACTGCACCAGCATTCTGGCGGAGAGTACTCGCCCGGTGCAGGTCAGTCTGTTGGCAGCCCTCACCAAGTACATCGAAAGGTTGCACGTCTTCGATGAGTCAGCTCAGCTGCCCGACCTGCCGCAAATAAACCAGGAGAAGAAGATCAAGACGGAGGCGCCGGCGCCGCAAACCCGCGAAGCCATCGTGGAGAAGATCTGCAAGGATGTTCTGGCTGCAGTGGCTCTGGCCGCCGGAGTTCCTCACACTGGCCTCAAAAAGGAGGCCCTCAACATCGTTCTCATGCTGATCAAGCGCTTGAGTGGAGCCACTAACCAACAGCCGCTGCAGCTGATCAAGGAGAGCTTTGAATCGAATTTGGAAAAGTTCCAGCGTGATTCGGCGCCGGAAATCCGCTGTCGCATTAAGGACATCGAGGAAAAGCTGACCAAGTTTAGCTCGGGGAATTGAGTTGCAGAGAAGTAAGAATTTCAGTTGCATGTGGCCAAAAATCCTGATTGGGGTAGACCTTAGATAAGGGGTAAGAAAGGAAATAAAACATCTATCTTTGGCTGAAATTAATATATATTATTAAATGGAGTTTTATTTTGTACTGTAATTAACGTGGGTAACTGAGGAACCATATAAGAGTTTATTAACTAAAATACTTCGCATTTTAAGCCTACCGAACTTTCGTTTCTTTGAGCTACAAGAAGCTAGGAACCATGGTCTTTGATTTTTCACAGCCTAAGGTTTTTTGAATACTTCAATCTATATTCAATCCCTGCAGAATTTAAGGTATATCTCATCCTGCGACTCCAGCATAAAGGACTTGGGGTTGAAACGAATCTGTGCAACTGTTTGCTTGCAAACTTCAACCCTGAATAATTTTAAAATATGAGCAATGCCCAATTTCAGCTGGAGGACACCCAGACGACTGCCAATGCAGCCATGAGGACCGGCTCCAAATGGAATATAGGTCATTGGGAGGATGTCCTTTGTCCGCTCCGGACTAAATCTCTCGGGATCAAAGCGGTCGGGCTCGGGCCAGTACTGAAATTAAGATAAATGTTAGGTGGACTTTGACATGATAACCATTTCTTCTACCTTTGCATCGCGATGCAGACCAAGTATGGATATGTAGGCTGGCATACCCGGGGGCACCACAAAGTCCACATACGGCTGGAGGGAGATTCCCTCGGGCTCTTCACTAGTGCACTCTCGATTGACAAATGCCGCAGCCGGATAGAGACGCAGTGCCTCCAAACACACCATTTTGAGGTAGGGCAAGGCAATGAGGGTGTCATAGCTTAAGGTGGAAGTGGAGCCAAAAGCTTCCTTAAGTTCTTTCCTCAATCTTTCCTGGATTTCTGGTGCCTTTGCCAACTCGTAGAGAGTGAACCCCATGAGTGCCGAAGAGGTCTCAAATCCGGCCAACAGAATAATTCCCGCTTGGGAGACTATGAAATCCGGATGCTGAGAGTAATGGTTTGCGGAGCGACTGCGCTGGAAGCTCTGCAGCTGAGTGACGAGATCCCCTTTTTGGGGCTTTTGATGATGTTCTCCGACCAAATTCCTCATATAGTCCGCATATTCCTTGCTGAAAACTTTGGGTCGCAGCAGGCTTCCCCATTTTGGTAGGAAGAAAACGATCATAAAGTCCAGAACCTTGCGGGGATTGGTGTTAAATAATTCCTTGGTTTTCTTCAGCAGCTGAGAATTTCCTTGTCGCAATCCGCCCACATCCAGACTGTAGAAGAGATTTCCGGTCACGTCGGTGGTGTACAACTGGCACATTTTGCTCAATGGGATGACCCTCTCGGAACGACCACTGAGCTTCCGGTTGATGTGGTCTTCCAGGTCGATAACCACCTTCAGCATCAGCGGGTACATAACATCCCGCATGCGACCGCTGGTGAAAAGCCGCGACATGCTCTGTCGATTCTCTTTCCAGTGATGGTACTTGGCTAACGGCAGAGTAAGTGCTCCCATGGGGTCGCCTTCGTCCGCCGACTCATAACGGTTAAGGAAGCCATTGAAGTTCTTGATCAGCACCTGGCGTATCAGCTCAGGATCTCGGACCATCAGAGCAGGTGTTTGGAAGACAAAGAAGCCCACGATCTTGGCTTGATCACAACTCGGATCTGCGTAGAGGCGTCGAAACAGATCGCCAAACGAAATTCGCAGGAACAGTAGCTGCCCGAGATTGCCCATTGGCGACCAGGATGAAGCGGGCAGGAAAGGAATCCCTCGCCTCTTGAAAAAGTCATATTTGTGACTCAACCATAGTTTTATGGTCAAAATAGTAAGCAGCAGTAAGAGCAGCAGCATGTTGGGACTATAAATACAAAAGATTGAAATACGTTATATAAATTTTTATATAAACAGAAGTAGGTATTCATAATGCATTGCATATTCAAATCCCCTTCCTATTTATACAGAAAATGACCCTCATCAAAACACAAACCCATTTACATATGTTGGAATAGATTTAAAACCAAGTTAGCACCACAAAAATCACCCCATGAACCCCATTTTAGAGTATACGATTACCCACAGCTTTAAGCCAGTTGAGCTGACACTTTTTGGCCCAGTAGCACACTTCAACTAGGAGCGCGAACATGGCACTTGGACTGCTGATCCTGCTCATAATCCTGCTTGTTATCGGCTATGTGGTCCTGCAGGATCACTACTCCTACTGGCGGCGAAAGGGAGTGCATGAAATCAGGCCCAAGTGGATAGTGGGCAACCTGATGGGATGGCTCAACATGCAACGAAGTCCCGCGGAGTTCATAGCCCAACTTTATAATCATCCCGAGGCGGATAACGAACCCTTCGTGGGTATCCATGTGTTCCACAAACCAGCTTTGCTCTTAAGGGATCCGGAACTCGTGAGAAGGATAATGGTCAAGGATTTCGGTGGATTCTCGAATCGGTTCTCGAGCCCCGATCAAAAGGCTGATCCCTTGGGATCCCAGAACATCTTCTTCCTGAAGAATCCCGCCTGGAAGGAGGTCCGTATGAAGCTGACGCCCTTCTTCACTGGCAATCGACTGCGTCAAATGTTCCCGCTGATCGAGGAGGTGGGCGCCAGTTTGGATGCCCATCTTCGCCAGCAGCCACTGCACAACGAGCGGATGCGCTGCTTCGAAGTGGAGACCAAGGAGCTGTGTGCTCTTTTCACCACCGATGTAGTTGCCACCGTGGCCTACGGGGTGAGGGCGAACAGTTTTAAGGATCCAAACGGAGAATTCCGGCGCAATGGACGATCCGTGTTCGAGTTCAGTCTTTTGCGGGCTGCCGGGTTCACTTTGATCTTCTTTCTACCCCACCTGGTGCCTTTCCTCAGGTTCAAGGTGGTTCCGGCGGAGGCTTCCCGCTTCCTGCGCAAGACCATCAACTACGTGATGACGGAGCGGGAGCAATCAGGGGAGAAGCGCAACGATCTGATCGACATCCTTATCGAGTTCCGAAGGAGCACGCAGCAAGCCAAGGCATCTAGCATCCAGGATCAGTTTGTGTTCGAGGGCGACATCCTGGTGGCTCAGGCGGTATTCTTCTTCACCGCCGGCTTCGAGGCCTCCTCCTCCACGATGGCCTTTGCCATGTATGAGCTGGCCAAGAATGCAGATATCCAGCAGCGTTTAAGGGAGGAGATCAGGAATGCCCTGGTGGAGAGTGGCGGTCAGGTGACGCTGAAAATGATCGAGTCGCTGGAGTTGATGCAGATGATCCTGCTGGAGGTGCTGCGTATGTATCCACCACTGTCCTTTTTAGATCGCGAGTGCACTTCTGGAGGGGATTACTCACTAGCTCCGTTCCACGATTTTGTGGTGCCCAAGGGAATGCCGGTGTACATACCCTGCTATGCCCTGCACATGGATCCCCAGGTGAGGTGGCCGAAGTCCTTTTAAAGTTCTGTTTAATGAAGAGGTTCCCTAATGTAGTACTACCCTCAACCGCGGAAGTTTCAGCCGGAGAGATTCTCCGCTGAGAACCGGAAGCTGCATACGCCCTACACCTACATGCCCTTTGGCCTGGGTCCGCATGGATGCATCGGAGAGCGGTTCGGCATGCTCCAGGCAAAGGTGGGTCTGGTGAACTTGCTGCGCAACCACATGGTCACCTCTTCCGACCGCACTCCTCATCGCATCCAGCTGGACCCAAAGTCCATTATTGCCCAATCAAAGGGAGGTATCCATCTGCGATTGGTCCGCGATCCTTTGGGCGTTTAACTCACCTGGAAAATTTTTGAGATTTTTTTTCGGGGGAGCAATGCAGCCTACAAAATTCGAGCGACAACTAAGCCGTTGAGTCGCGTGTTTTGGCATTTAAAATTAAGTTGGTGTCTCATCTTGAAGGCAATTTGATTGACAAATGGCGTGTTCTATCCACAAAGCAAGCAATGAGATGCAATGCCTATACCTTAAAGATCAAACATGCATATAAATCTATAACATACCGATACAGACATCACTGACTCCCTGAATTTACGTTAATTTACGTTACTGCACTATTACAACATTTGGGAGATAAATTTGCATTCGTAATGAAAAGTAGATTAAGTTTTATTTATTGGTGGCGCAATTTTATAGGTCGCCCGGTTCACCGATTAAATCTAATTTGATAATCATTTTGTTTTTATTCGGTAGAAAAGGCGCCGCTTCTGACACGGATTATTGTATAATGTGTATTACAACTTTAGCTGTCAGAAAGCGATTACATTCTCAGCTAATAATTATAATAATTTCAGTTTTATAACGTAAGATCCAAACGTTAAGGAAAATAGTCCTTAAAAACACCTCCCATAAACCATTTATAAGTAAATTCAATGGTTTGGGGCGGCGCTCTCGTCGTAAAGACGATCGTTGACGATTTCCAAGTGGATGCCACCGTCGGCCTGCAGAACAAACCCCTTGGTATGAATTTTATGAACTGTTGTCCATGGTTACGGAACTCGGCATTCAGATTTTGCAGGATCCCAAAGGCAATGGTGGCCATGCAGTCCCTTGAGAATAGAGCTCAAGTCTCCTTGACCTCGGTGACGTACTTGCCGGAACTCTTCTCTCCATGTCATTTCAGAGCTCCTTCCAAGACGGTGCCAATCTATGAGAAAACAAATTATTATACCATTTAAAATTGGGAAATTTGGTAGGATTTCATCTCGATGGGGATTTACAACTCCTCACAAGGTCTATATTGCAATAATCAATCCAGGTTTGTTAAGAAAATAGATCCCCACGACTGCCTCGTCCTTCACCCGCGGGTCTCCGAAAGATACAGGCCAAATGAGTTCTCCATCTTAAAGACCACCTTGGTGTTTCCTATAATCGGTGTGGATGGTAGGTATTGCGCTGCCAATAGCTGTGGTTCCGCTGGAACGCCACCAGGACGGCGACCACCAGGTAGAGGGCTTCAGTCAACGCCATCTACATGATATGAGTGTAATAACGATAAGAACTTTACGATCTTCAACTCTATAATCAGTCGCGCAAATTGTTATCGGCAGCTATGTAAGTATAAGCAGTGTAGGTCAGCATACCTACCATTATACCATTATCTTATCTTAATTACACTTGAAAACGGTGAAGCTGTCTTAGGTGTCCTAAAACGTTTTTGTAAACACTCGTTGTCTCACAACGGTAGCCAGATCTTATCTCCTCATCAATTTAAACGTCATCTAAATCTTTATAATATTGGCAAAATTGACAAGAATTTTCATTGTGAAAGATTAAAATAAAGCAAAAACTTGTTGTGTTTTAAGGACATCAATATATTTTTATTATATCTTTTTTAAATATATTTTTTTATAGGTTTTCAAAGACATTGAAAATCCTTGTGATATAATAGGGCGGGACAATCGAATCCCTTTAAAATTAGTTCGGGTAACAAAGTTATTTTTTATTCTTTGCACTTGTTCTAACTCTTGCACACCTGATTTGTTTGGCCCAATTGTCAACTAGTTTTTCCAGGAAGTTCAAGGAAACGTTTTGATGTTCGTTTAATCTGAGCTTCGGCCGGCAACCGACAATTAAAGCATTTCGCACCACACTCGAAGCCATTTGAAATTGCGCTCGCGTTTTTATACAACTCGAAAAATTTGAGATAACGATTGGAAAGCCAACATATATTCACCAAGTGGTGAAAAGCAAGCTTTAAATTAAGAAAAAAAAAACAAATCGTAAAAAGCGTTAACCTAAAGGCAAACAAACCTGACTAACAAGTCATGATTACGTTCATTTTTTAATGTTATCAATTTTAGGGTAATACACTCTATTATAGAAGAAAAACAAAGGAACCGACACCAAAAAATTACAAAAATCCATTAAAATTATAATCAAAATGTAAAATTAACAATATTATGATTTCGTTTCAGATTTTGAACTTTAAATTTGTGTTTTTATTTTCCAGTTTAACTTCTGCGCATTAAGATATACTATATTGTAAGTATTGCATGCCTATTATTAATTAACGATTAAGCAAAACCCGGTTTCCCTGTCAAACTTATGATGAATTATACAATGTTAAGATCGTTACGGCGGCGGCTTTATTGAAACGATTGCGAAATGACTGGATCAAACAAATCTATCAGATAGCTGCGTTCATAGCCAAGTTCCTTGAGGTAGAGGAGTCGATCGAGAAGTATCAAACTCTCCAGAACGGGAGCAAAGGACATGCGTAGCAGGTAAAACAGATCCAAATAATGTTTATCCGTTGCGTATTCCTGCAGCAAGGAAAAAGTTCTTCACCCTTTATAGCTGCTAACCAAGGGGCCTCGAGTTTTGTTGGCCTCGAGTTACCATTGGCGACCAGGATGAAGCGGGCAGAAAAGTAATCCCTCGTCTCTTAAAAAGTCGGTAAGCAGCAGCATATTGTGACTATAAATACCAAAGATTAAAATACTTTAAAGTACATTTGTATATAAACAGAAGTAGGTATCCATAAAGCATTGAATATATAAATCCTCTTCATATTTATGTATGTATATAGAAAACGACACTCATTTACATTTGTTTGAATAGATTCAAAACCGAGTTAGCATCACAAAAATCACGGTCATTCATATACGAGATTCATTCACAAAACCCAAGGATCATCGTGATGAACCCCATTTTGAGTATTCCATTTCTGAGAGCTTTAACCAAGTTGAGCTGACTCTTTTTGGCCCAGTAGCAGACTTCAACTAGAAACGCGAACATGGCACTGGGACTGCTGATCCTGCTTGTAATCCTGCTGGTCATCGGCTTTGTGGTCCTGCAGGATCACTACTCCTACTGGCGGCGAAGGGGAGTGCGTGAGATCAGGCCGAAGTGGATAGTGGGCAACCTGATGGGACTGCTCAACATGCAACGGAGTCCCGCGGAGTTCATAGCCCAACTTTATAATCATCCCGAGGCGGAGAACGAACCCTTCGTGGGTATCCATGTGTTCCACAAACCAGCTTTGCTCTTAAGGGATCCTGAACTCGTGAGGAGGATACTGGTCAAGGATTTCGGTGGATTCTCCAATCGGTACTCGAACTCCGATCACAAGGCTGATCCCTTGGGATCCCAGAACATCTTCTTTCTGAAGAATCCCGCCTGGAAGGAGGTCCGCCTGAAGCTGACGCCCTTCTTCACAGGAAACCGACTGCGCCAGATGTTCCCGCTGATCGAGGAGGTGGGCGCCAGTTTGGATGCCCATCTTCGCCAGCAGCCACTGCACAACGAGCGGATGCGCTGCTTCGAAGTGGAGGCCAAGGAGCTGTGTGCTCTTTTCACCACCGATGTAATTGCAACCGTGGCCTACGGGGTGAAGGCGAATAGCTTCAAGGATCCAAACGGAGAGTTCCGGCGCAATGGACGATCCGTGTTCGAGTTCAGTCTTTTGCGAGCTGCCGAGTTCACCCTGGTCTTCTTCCTGCCCCACCTGGTGCCCTTCTTTGGGTTCAAAGTGGTTCCGGCGGAGGCCACCCGCTTCCTGCGCAAGACCATCAACTACGTGATGACGGAACGGGAGAAATCGGGGGAGAAGCGCAACGATCTGATCGACATCCTCATCGAGTTTCGAAGGAGCACGCAGCAAGCCAATGCATCTGGCATCCAGGATCAGTTTGTGTTCGAGGGCGACATCCTGGTGGCCCAGGCGGTACTGTTCTTCACCGCCGGCTTTGAGTCCTCCTCCTCCACGATGTCCTTTGCCATGTACGAGCTTGCCAAGAATGCGGATATCCAGCAGCGTTTAAGGGAGGAGATCAGGGATGCCCTGGTGGAGAGTGGCGGTCAGGTGACGCTGAAAATGATCGAGTCGCTGGAGCTGATGCAGATGGTCCTGCTGGAGGTGCTGCGCATGTATCCACCACTGCCCTTTTTGGATCGCGAGTGCACTTCTGGAGGGGATTACTCACTAGCTCCGTTCCACGATTTTGTGGTGCCCAAGGGAATGCCGGTGTACATACCCTGCTATGCCCTGCACATGGATCCCCAGGTGAGGTGGCCGAAGTCCTTTTTAAGTTCTGTTTAATGTAGAGGTTCTCCTATTATGTAGTACTACCCTCAACCGAGGAAGTTCCAGCCGGAGAGATTCTCCGCTGAGAACCGGAAGCTGCACACGCCCTACACCTACATGCCCTTTGGCCTGGGTCCGCATGGCTGCATCGGAGAGCGGTTCGGCATGCTCCAGGCAAAGGTGGGTCTGGTGAACCTGCTGCGCAACCACATGGTCACCTCTTCCGACCGCACTCCTCATCGAATGCAGCTAAATCCTAAGGCCATTATTACCCAATCAAAGGGCGGTATCCATCTGCGATTGGTCCGGGATCCTTTGGGCGTTTAACTCACCTGGGAAATTTTAGATATTTTTTTCGGGGGAGCAATGCAGCCTACAAAATTCGAGCGACAACTAAGCCGCTGAGTCGCGTGTTTTGGCATTTAAAATTAAGTTGGTGTCTCATCTTGAAGGCAATTTGATTGACAAATTGCGTGTTCTATCCACAAAGCAAGCAATGAGATGCAATGCCTATACCTTAAAGATCAAACATGCATATAAATCTATAACATACCGATACAGACATCACTGACTCCCTGAACTTACGTTACATTACGTTTCTGCATTATTATAACATTTTGGAAATACATTTGCATTCGTAATCAAAAGTAGATTACGTTTTATTTATTGGTGGCGCAATTTTATAGATCCCCAGCTCACCGATTAAATCTAATTTGATAATCATTTTGTTTTTATTCAGTAGACAAGGCGCCGCTTCTGACACGGATTATTGTATAATGTGTATTACAGCTTTAGCTGTCAGAAATCGATTACATTCTCAGCTAATCGCTGTTACTATGCATCTTTTTTATATTAGCGGAGGAGTTTGTGGGTTGGAAAACTTTGTAATATCAAACAGTAATTGTACAGTAAAGAGTACTTCTAAAAAATCGTAGTGTTTTTTTATTTCCAACGGATAACAATTTCAGTTTTATAACATAAGATCCAAACGGTAAGGAAAAAGTCCCTTTAAGCCCCTCTCAGAAAGCAATTATAAGTAAATTCAATGGTTTGGTGCAGCGCTCTCGTCGTAAAGACGATCATTGAGGATTTCCAAGTGGATGCCACCGTCGGCCTGAAGAACAAAGCCCTTGGGATCGAACTTCATTTCCTTTAAGGTGGCCTCGCAAGCCCTAACCGCGTGATTCTTCAAGATGCTGACGAGTCCCAGTTTGGCCTGGAGCAGGCCAATCCGGCTGCCAATGCAGTTGTGCGGTCCGGCGCCGAAGGGTTGATAGGCCATGGCCACGATGGACTTGCGGTTCTCCGGAGAGAAGCGCTCCGGATCGAACTTATGTGGATTCGTCCAGTACTGCGGATGGCAAAGGAGTTAAAGCAGTTCGTACTTAACACATCAAATGTACCTGTGGGTCATGATGCAGGGCGTAGACTGGGATAAACACAGGGGTTCCGTTCTCGAATGAGTAATCGTAGAAGGGCTTCAGGCTGAGATCCGGTTCCCCCTTCACACTCTCGTACTCGCGATCCAGGAAAGGCAGGACCGGGTACATGCGCAGCACCTCGTCAACCACCATGGCCAGATACTCCAGGGACTGGATCTTCTCGTAGGTCAATGTCCCACCACCCTCCAACAAAGCCTCGTTGATCTCCTGGCGCAATCGCTGCTGCAACTCAGGGTGTTTGGCCAGCTCGTAGAGCGCAAAGGCCATCGTCGACGAGGAGGTCTCGAAGCCGGCCGTGAAGAACACGCCCGCCTGCGCCACCAGGAAGTCTTGGTTCCTGGCATAGTGCGGCTTTGATGGCTCCGCAGCTGCCTCCTTGCGCAGTCCCACCAGAACATCTATGAGATCATTGCGGACCATTCCCGTTCGCTCCCGCTCCTGCATCACGTGTCCAATGGTACTCCGCATAAAGTGAGAGAATTCCGGCGTGAAGAACTGAATCCGCATCAGTGAAACCAACTTCGGCAGGAAGAAGGCCACAAAGAAATCCTTGGCACGGCCTATGGTGAATTTTATGAATTGTCGTCCATGGTTACGGAACTCGGCATTGGGATTCTCCAGGCTGTTCGCCCGGATCCCAAAGGCAATGGTGGCTATGCTGTCCGTTGAAAATTGGGCGCAAATCTCCTTGACCTCGGTGACGTACTTGCCGCAACTCTTCTCTCCATGTCTTTTCAGAGCTCCTTCCAAGTCGGTGCCAATCTATGAGAAAATAAATTATTTTACAGTTTAAAATTGGGATATTTGGTAGGATTACATTACCTCCTGCATAAGGGTATACAACTGCTTGACTTTTCCACTGGTAAAAACAGGAGTAAGCTTTGTGCGAATGTCCTTCCAATGGAGATCTCTTACAAAGAATAAATTGTTATAGCCCAAAGGATCTCGATGGGGATCGCAGCGGGCGTAACGATTGTGGAACCGATTAAAGTCCTTGATCAGAACGGATTTGATGAGGTCTATATTGCGAATAATCAAGCCAGGTTTGTTAAGAGAGTAGATCCCCACGACTGCCTCGTCCTTCACCCGCGGGTCATTGTAGATCTCCGAAAGATGCAGGCCAAAGGAGTTCTCCATCTTAAAGACCACCTTGGTGTTTCCTATAATCGGTGTGGGTGGTATGTAGGGTATGCCCTTGCGCTGCCAATAGCTGTGGTTCCGCTGGAACCACATGTACACCGCCACCAGGACGGCGATCACCAGGAAGAGGGCTTCAGTCAACGCCATCTATATGATTTGAGTGTAATAACGATAAGAACTATGTGATCTTCAACTCTGTAATCAGTCGCGAAAATTGTTTTCGAAAAGTAAGTATAGGCAGTATAGGTCAGCCTATCTAACAGTATCTTATCATAATTACACTTGAAAACGGTTAAGCTGTCTTAAGTGCCCTAAAACGTTTTCGTAAACACTCGTTGTCTCACAACGGTAGCCAGATTTTATCTCCTCATCAATTTAAACGCCATATAAATCTTTATAATATTGGTAAGATTGACAAAAATTTTTATTGTGGACGTTTAAATTAAAGCAAACACTTGATGTGTTTAACGAACATTATTATATTTGAATATATATTATTTTTTTTCCCTAATATATTTATGGACCTTCGAATTCCTTTAAAATTAGCTCGGTTAACAAAGTTAAAAACACTTATTTAATTCCTCGCACTTGTTATAACTTTTGCGCACCTGATTTGATTGGCTCGATTGGCAACTAGTTTTTCCAGCAAGTTCAAGGAAACGTTTTGATGTTCGTTTAATCTGAGCTTCGGCCGGCAACCGACAATTAAAGCATTTCGCACCACACTCGAAGCCATTTGAAATTGCGCTCGCGTTTTTATACAACTCGAAAAAATTGAGATAACGATTCAAAAGCCTACATCTATTCACCAAGTGGTGAAAAACGAGCTTAAAATTAAGAAAAGGAAAAACAAATCGTAAAAAGCGTTAACCAAAGCAAAAGAAACCTGACTAGCAAGTCATCATTGCGTTCATTTTTTAATGTTATCAATTTTAGGGTAATACACTCTATAAAGAGCGTAACCCAAGAAACCAACATCAAAAATTACAAAAATTAATTAAAATTAACTTCAAAATGTAAAATTAACATTATTATTATGATTTTGTTTTCAGATTTTGAATTTTAAATTTGTGTTTTTATTTTCCAGTTTTACTTCTGCGGATTAAGATATACTATATCATAAGTATTGCATGCCTATCATTAATTAACGATTAAGCAAAACCCGGTTTCCCTGTCAAACTTATACAATGTTAAGATGGTTACGGCTGTGGCTTTATTGAAACGATTGCGAAATGCCTGGGCGAAATGACTGGATCAAACAAATCTATCAGGTAGCTGCGTTCATAGCCAAGTTCCTTGAGGTAGAGGAGTCGATCGAGAAGTATCAAACTCTCCAGAACGGGAGCAAAGGACATGCGTAGCAGGTAAAACAGATCCAAATAATGTTTATCCGTTGCGTATTCCTGCAGCAAGGAATGAAGTTCTTCACCCTTTATAGCTGCTAACCAAGGGGCCTCGAGTTTTGTAGCACACTTTTGAATGTATTCCTCGAAGCTGTCGAACTTTCGCACCTTGCCCACCTGCAACTCGTTCTTCAACTGCGGAGCATGTCGGCAAACGAGGACCTCCAAAAGAGCTCGATAATAAAGCGTTACATTGGGAAGCTCCTTGGCATCCAAGGTTCGCTCGATGGACTGGGCATTGCGACCCATACGCACTTGTCGGTCCTGAAGATACTGACTAAGTGGAAATCCATAGTCCGTTTGCATGTCCATCAGGCCCTTGTTCACGAAGAATTCCTGCTGGGAGTATCGTTCCCTCAGCAAATGATAGCAGCACCCAATGTTACACAGCAACCGGCAGTCGTTTTGGGCATGCGACCGCTGTTGAAAAGCGGCGACATCCTCTTCCGATTCTCTTTCCAGTGATGGTATTTGGCCAACGGCAGTGTTCCCATGGGATCACCCACGATCTTGGGTTGATCACAACTTGGATCTGCGTAGATGCGTCGAAAGAGGTCGCCAAAGGAAATTTGCAGAAACTGGCTACTGTTCCTGTTCCAATTGTTCCAATTGCCCATCGGCGACCAGGATGAAGCTGGCAGAAAAGGAATCCCTCGTCTCTTGAAAAAGTCGGTAAGCAGCAGCATATTGTGACTATAAATACAAAAGATTAAAATACGTTAAAGTACATTTGTATATAAACAGAAGTTGGTATCCATAAAGCAATGAATATATAAATCCTCTTCATATTTACATATGTACCTATATAGAAAACGACACTCATTTACATTTGTTTGAATAGATTCAAAACCGAATTAGCATCACAAAAACCACGGTCATTCATATAAGAGATTCATTCACAAAACCAAAGGATCATCGTGATGAACTCCAATTTGAGTATTCGATTTCTGAGAGCTTTAACCCAGTTGAGCTGACTCTTTTTGGGCCAGTAGCACACTTCAACTAGGAGCGCGAACATGGCACTTGGACTGCTGATCCTGCTCATAATCCTGATTGTCATCGGCTATGTGGTCCTGCAGGATCACTACTCATACTGGCGGCGAAGGGGAGTGCGTGAGATCAGGCCGAAGTGGATAGTGGGCAACCTGATGGGACTGCTCAACATGCAACGAAGTCCCGCAGAGTTCATAGCCCAACTTTATAATCATCCCGAGGCGGAGAACGAACCCTTCGTGGGTATCCATGTGTTCCACAAACCAGCTTTGCTCTTAAGGGATCCTGAACTTGTGAGAAGAATCCTGGTCAAGGATTTCGGTGGATTCTCCAATCGGTACTCGAACTCCGATCACAAGGCTGATCCCTTGGGATCCCAGAACATCTTCTTCCTGAAGAATCCCGCCTGGAAGGAGGTCCGCCTGAAGCTGACGCCCTTCTTCACAGGAAATCGACTGCGCCAGATGTTCCCGCTGATCGAGGAGGTGGGCGCCAGTTTGGATGCCCATCTCCGCCAGCAGCCACTGCACAACGAGCGGATGCGCTGCTTCGAAGTGGAGGCCAAGGAGCTGTGTGCTCTTTTCACCACCGAAGTGATTGCTACCGTGGCTTACGGGGTGAAGGCGAATAGTTTCAACAATCCAGACGGAGAGTTCAGGCGCAATGGACGATCCGTGTTCGAGTTCAGTCTATTGCGGGCTGCCGAGTTCACCCTGGTCTTCTTTTTGCCTCACCTGGTGCCCTTCTTTGGGTTCAAGGTGGTTCCGGCAGAAGCCACCCGCTTCCTGCGCAAGACCATCAACTACGTGATGACGGAGCGGGAGCAATCAGGGGAGAAGCGCAACGATCTGATCGACATCCTCATCGAGTTCCGAAGGAGCACGCAGCAAGCCAAGGCATCTGGCATCCAGGATCAGTTTGTGTTTGAGGGCGACATCCTGGTGGCCCAGGCGGTACTGTTCTTCACCGCCGGCTTCGAGTCCTCCTCCTCCACGATGTCCTTTGCCATGTATGAGCTGGCCAAGAATGCGGATATCCAGCAGCGTTTAAGGGAGGAGATCAGGAATGCCCTGGTGGAGAGTGGCGGTCAGGTGACGCTGAAAATGATCGAGTCGCTGGAGCTGATGCAGATGGTCCTGCTGGAGGTGCTGCGCATGTATCCACCACTGCCCTTTTTGGATCGCGAGTGCACTTCTGGCGGGGATTACTCACTAGCTCCGTTCCACGATTTTGTGGTGCCCAAGGGAATGCCGGTGTACATACCCTGCTATGCCCTACACATGGATCCCCAGGTGAGGTGTTTCCCTAGTCCTTTTTAAGTTCTGTTTAATGTAGAGGTTCCCTAATTATGTAGTACTACCCTCAACCACGAAAGTTCCAGCCGGAGAGATTCTCCGCTGAGAACCGGAAGCTGCACACGCCCTACACCTACATGCCCTTTGGCCTGGGTCCGCATGGATGCATCGGAGAGCGGTTCGGCATGCTCCAGGCAAAGGTGGGTCTGGTGAACCTGCTGCGCAACCACCTGGTCACCTCTTCCGACCGCACTCCTCATCGAATGCAGCTAGATCCCAAGGCCATTATTACCCAATCAAAGGGCGGTATCCATCTGCGGTTGGTCCGCGATCCTTTGGGCGTTTAACTCACCTGGAAAATGTTGGAGATTTTTTTTCGGGGGGAGCAATGCAGCCTACAAAATTCGAGCGACAACTAAGCCGTTGAGTCGCGTGTTTTGGCATTTAAAATTAAGTTGGTGTCTCATCTTAAAGGCAATTTGATTGACAAATGGCGTGTTCTATCCACAAAACAAGCAATGAGATGCAATGCCTATACCTTAAAGATCAAACATGCATATAAATCTATAACATACCGATACAGACATCACTGACTCCCTGAATTTACGTTAATTTACGTTACTGCACTATTATAACATTTTGGAAATACATTTGCATTCGTAATCAAAAGTATATTACATTTTATTTATTGGTGGCGCAATTTTATAGATCCCCAGCTCACCGATTAAATCTAATTTGATAATCATTTTGTTTTTATTCAGTAGACAAGGCGCCGCTTCTGACACGGATTATTGTATAATGTGTATTACTTTAGCTGTCAGAAAGCGATTACATTCTCAGCGAATCGCTATTGCTATGCATCTTTTTTTATATTAGCGGAGTAGTTTGAGGGTTAAAAAACTTTGTAATATCAAACAGTAATTGTACAGTAGTGTACAAGTGTTATCCAACGGATAACAATTTCAGTTTTAAAACATAAGATCAGAACGGTAAGGAAAAAGTCCTTTCAAGCCCCTCTCATAAAGCAATTATAAGTAAATTCAATGGTTTGGTGCGGCGCTCTCGTCGTAAAGACGATCATTGAGGATTTCCAAGTGGATGCCACCGTCGGCCTGAAGAACAAAGCCCTTGGGATCGAACTTCATTTCCTTTAAGGTGGCCTCGCAAGCCCTAACCGCGTGATTCTTCAAGATGCTGACGAGTCCCAGTTTGGCCTGGAGCAGGCCAATCCGGCTGCCAATGCAGTTGTGCGGTCCGGCGCCGAAGGGTTGATAGGCCATGGCCACGATGGACTTGCGGTTCTCCGGAGAGAAGCGCTCCGGATCGAACTTATGTGGATTCGTCCAGTACTGCGGATGGCAAAGGAGTTAAAGCAGTTCGTACTTAACACATCAAATGTACCTGTGGGTCATGATGCAGGGCGTAGACTGGGATAAACACAGGGGTTCCATTCTCGAACGAGTAATCGTAGAAGGGCTTCAGGCTGAGATCCGGCTCTCCCTTCACACTCTCGTATTCGCGATCCAGGAAAGGCAGGACCGGGTACATGCGCAGGACCTCGTCGACCACCATGGCCAGATACTCCAGGGATTGAATCTTCTCGTAGGTCAATGTCCCACCACCCTCCAACAAAGCCTCGTTGATCTCCTGGCGCAATCGCTGCTGCAACTCAGGGTGTTTGGCCAGCTCGTAGAGCGCAAAGGCCATCGTCGAGGAGGAGGTCTCGAAGCCAGCCGTGAAGAACACGCCCGCCTGGGCCACCAGGAAGTCTTGGTTTCTAGCATAGTGCGGCTTCGATGGCTCCGCGGCTGCCTCCTTGCGCAGTCCCACCAGAACATCTATGAGATCATTGCGGACCATTCCCGTTCGCTCCCGCTCCTGCATCACGTGACCAATGGTACTCCGCATAAAGTGAGAGAATTCCGGCGTGAAGAACTGAATCCGCATCAGTGAAACCAACTTCGGCAGGAAGAAGGCCACAAAGAAATCCTTGGCACGGCCTATGCTGAATTTTATGAACTGTCGTCCATGGTTACGGAACTCGGCATTCGGATTCTCCAGGCTGTTCGCCCGGATCCCAAAGGCAATGGTGGCTATGCTGTCCGTTGAGAATTGGGCGCAAATCTCCTTGACTTCGGTGACGTACTTGCCGGAACTCTTCTCTCCATGTCTTTTCAGAGCTCCTTCCAAGTCGGTGCCAATCTGTGAGAAAATAAACTATTATACCATTTACAATTGAGATATTTCGTAGGATTACATTACCTCCTGCATTAGGGTATACAACTGCTTGACTTTTCCACTGGTAAAAACAGGAGTAAGCTTGGTGCGAATGTCCTTCCAATGTAGATCTCTCACAAAGAATAAATTGTTATAGCCCAAAGGATCTCGATGGGGATCGCAGCGGGCGTAACGATTGTGGAACCGATTAAAGTCCTTGATCAGAATGGATTTGATGAGGTCTATATTGCGAATAATCAAGCCAGGTTTGTTAAGAGAATAGATCCCCACGACTGCCTCGTCCTTCACCCGCGGGTCATTGTAGATCTCCGAAAGATGCAGGCCAAAGGAGTTCTCCATCTTAAAGACCACCTTGGTGTTTCCTATAATCGGTGTGGGTGGTATATAGGGTATGCCCTTGCGCTGCCAATAGCTGTGGTTCCGCTGGAACCACATGTACACCGCCACCAGGACGGCGACCACCAGGAAGAGGGCTTCAGTCAACGCCATCTATATGATTTGAGTGTAATAACGATAAGAACTATGTGATCTTCAACTCTGTAATCAGTCGCGAAAATTGTTTTCGAAAAGTAAGTATAGGCAGTATAGGTCAGCCTATCTAACAGTATCTTATCATAATTACACTTGAAAACGGTTAAGCTGTCTAAAGTGCCCTAAAACGTTTTCGTAAACACTCATTGTCTCACAACGGTAGCCAGATTTTATCTCCTCATCAATTTAAACGCCATATAAATCTTTATAATATTGGTAAGATTGACAAAAATTTTCATTGTGGACGTTTTAATTAAAGCAAACACTTGATGTGTTTAACGGACATTAATATTTTTTGAATATATTTTTTTTTTTTTTGCCGAATATATTTATTTATGGGTCTTCAAAAACACTGAAAATCCATGTGAGATAAAACGCAGGACCTTCGAATTCCTTTAAAATTTGTTCGGTTAACAAAGTTAAAAACACTTATTTAATTCCTTGCACTTGTTACAACTTTTGCACACCTGATTTGATTGCCTCGATCGGCAACTAGTTTTTCCAGCAAGTTCAAGGAAACGTTTTGATGTTCGTTTAATCTGAGCTTCGGCCGGCAACCGACAATTAAAGCATTTCGCACCACACTCGAAGCCATTTGAAATTGCGCTCGCGTTTTTATACAACTCGAAAAAATTGAGATAACGATTCAAAAGCCTACATCTATTCACCAAGTGGTGAAAAACGAGCTTAAAATTAAGAAAAAGAAAAACAAATCGTAAAAAGCGTTAACTAAAGCAGAAGAAACCTGACTAGCAAGTCATCATTGCGTTCATTTTTTAATGTTATCAATTTTAGGGTAATACACTCTATTAAAGAGCATTACCCAAGAAACCAACATCAAAAATTACAAAAATTAATTAAAATTAACTTCAAAATGTAAAATGAACATTATTATTATGATTTTGTTTTCAGATTTTGAATTTCAAATTTGTGTTTTTATTTTCCAGTTTTACTTCTGCGGATTAAGATATACTATATCATAAGTATTGCATGCCTATCATTCATCAACGATTACGCAGAACCCGGTTTCCCTGTCAAACTTATGATGAATTATACAATGTTAAGATCGTTACGGCGGCGGCTTTATTGAAACGATTGCGAAATGCCTGGGCGAAATGACTGGATCAAACAAATCTATCAGGTAGCTGCGTTCATAGCCAAGTTCCTTGAGGTAGAGGAGTCGATCGAGAAGTATCAAACTCTCCAGAATGGGAGCAAAGGACATGCGTAGCAGGTAAAACAGATCCAAATAATGTTTTTCCGTTGCGTATTCCTGCAGCAAGGAATGAAGTTCTTCATCCCTTACAGATGCTAACCAAGGGGCCTCGAGTTTTGTAGCACACTTTTGAATGTATTCCTCGAAGCTGTCGAACTTTCGCACCTTGCCCACCTGCAACTCGTTCTTCAACTGCGGGGTATGTCGGCAAACGAGGACCTCCAAAAGAGCTCGATAATAAAGCGTTACATTGGGAAGCTCCTTGGCATCTAAGGTTCGTTCGATGGACTGGGCAGCTAACATTCTGGCATTGCGACCCATATGCACTTGTCGGTCCTGAAGATACTGACTAAGTGGAAATCCGTAGTCCGTTTGCATGTCCATCAGGGCCTTGTTCCCGAAGAATTCCTGCTGGGAGTAGCGTTCCCTCAGCAAATGATAGCAGCACCCAATGTTACACAGCAAACGGCAGTCGTTTTGGGCATGGAAAACCTGCAGGCAGGTGGCAGCCAAGTTGCCGCAGGTATGCAAACCCGTCAGACAGATGTTAAGACTATCATTCTGTAAAAGTTGACCAAAATTATACTCAAGTAAGGCGCCAAAATTGAGTTCGGTGGTTATAAATCTGGACGTGGTTTTGTAGTTGTCCAAGGCAGGTGCACTCTTTTGGGGGTCCCTTGTGGGGGATTTTTTGCCTCTTCTCTTCGGGATGATTCCTTTGCTCTGCAGCTCAGCTCGTTCGGTAAGTCCATTCCAAGCACGCTGAAAAATAATCAAATTTGAATCATCAGTTAAGCGGTCTTTGTTTACTTTTTCAACACTACTCGTTTGGGACTATTTTTCTTGTTGAACAGCATGTTGGAAAGTCAAGCTACGGTCACACTATCCTCGAAAACGCGAAAAGCCGGCGATTTGCGGCACGCTTGTTTTATTTTTTATTTAAAACGCTACTAAAATCACAAAAACACCATGTCGGCTGGCATGCCCATCAATCCGAAGCCTTTCCTGAACGGCCTGACGGGAAAACCGGTGCTGGTGAAGCTCAAGTGGGGACAGGAGTACAAGGGCTTCCTGGTGTCCGTCGACGGCTACATGAACATGCAGCTGGCCAACACCGAAGAGGTGATTGAGGGCTCCGTCACTGGGAATCTCGGCGAGGTGCTTATCCGCTGCAACAACGTGCTGTACATAAAAGGAATGGAGGACGACGACGAGGAGGGCGAGATGCGCGACTAAACACTTGTACATCCAACTTACTTATAAGTCTACGAAAGTAATGAAATAAAGCTAATTTTACCTTAAAATTCTAGCCTACCTGCAGTTTGCGATTGCGGCTTAGGGCATTTTCCGTGTTTGCCGCATTGGCATCGATGCCGAGCACCTTATGGCCATATTGGAGCGCCAGGCGGGAGGAAAGATAGCCTTTGCCATCGCCGGCATCCACAATGTAGCAATCTTGACTGGAGTTCTTCACAATATGGTCTACTAAAGCGGCTGTTAGCTCTACCTAATCGAAAAGATTATTAAATTCCTTATATTTATAAACGCCGCGAGCTTATCTACCTCATGACACTTTTTCGCGCTCATAAACTCCCGGATGCTTAGTTGGGCGGCGTTCTCCTGAGCCTCAATAAGATCCTCCACGCTGGTTAACAATTCCGGGTGAAGCGCCAGGCGTTCTTGCTTGCCAATCTCCAGAAATACTCTCCATTGCTGAAATCTATGACCTGATTCATTAGATTGCCAAAATAACTCTTCTATAGCCAGTTCCGCATCTTCCTTTCCAGAGATCTCTTTTCTTAGAGCCCCGGGCAAAAACACTTCCCAGTGCTGGTCCGTCAAGTAGTTTACCATGTGACAATTGACAAAATCCCAGTGGGGATTAAGGAAAGCCAGCAAGCCATCAAGGCGCTTCTGCAACTGAGCGATTCCCACCTTAGACATGCTGCTAGAAACTGTAATCCTTTTGTTCTGGAGCAGGTGATGCCTCTGAGGAGGCACCTGGGATCTTCTTCGATCCTAACAAGGCGCGAAGACGACGATGGGAGGTTCGGATGTCTTGAACAGCTCCAACAATGTCCGCCTGGGGATCGTTTGTGCGGGGAAATTGCTCGATAAGAGAGCGCAACTGCTCTAGACTGCGTCGAACCTTATCCGTGTGCTTCAGTTGCTGTTGGGCTACAACCTGGCCAAGAATCCTGCCAAGCTCCTCGCCAAGCGATACACCCTGGGCGTAGCCCAATTTGTAGCCCTCCTCGTTGCCTTGCTCCTGTCCGTCTTTCAGTCCCTCCTCGTATCCCAGGCGAGCTTCCTTCTCCTCGGTCAGGACAATATCGTCAAACAGATCGTTTATATCCCGCAATAGACTGGTCATTATAAGAGGTTTTCCCCGGATTTCTTGTAGCCGCTCTTCCAGGTTTTTGGGAGTTTTTGTCTTTCAAGAGTACCTTCAAAGAGTTTGGTACGTGTAACTAATCATTTAAACTAATAGTTATTTCAGTTTTGGTTGAAATGTGGTTATTTCTCGGAACATTTTCCAGCACTAAAATCTAGCAAAACCATAGTGCTGTTATCAACATTAAGAAGAGGTATTCCTTTAGTATGAAATGTAAATATTCAACTGGTTTTAGTTGTTACTTTTATTCAACTATTTCACATTGACCTAATTTGGCATGCTCGCTTGGGCGCAGAATTTCAAATTCTCTCCGGAGATTGGTAAAATTAAGCTAGAGAAGCTAGTGCTTAAAGCTAGCTAAGGCACTTGCACCGGTGCTAAAGCTAAATTGGTAGAGAAGGGGTTTCGAACTTCAAAGTTACGGCTATTTCCACACGTCTTCGTCGTCGTCGGAGCGCCCCTCCTCACTGGATTGCGATCCCTTGCGCGGCTGCACTGGTGGCGGAATCACTCGAGAGAGCTGCTGCATCAGGGGATTGCCAGCAGTGGCTTCCCCAGGATTTTGGCTTCCAGAGATTCCTTTGCGCCGAAGCATCAGCTTGTTGTGCAAGTCTGCCATCAGATCTCCCGTTGCAGCAGCCCCCGCCTTGGAACGCGACTTGTCCACTACATCGAGAGGGGCAGCCGCCGGCGACCGTAGGCGCCCGCCGTGCACTCCACCAGCATTCCGTATGGCTGCCATAAGCTCGGATCGTGGATCTTCAGGTAGAGGAGGAGGCGGCGGCATGTTAAGGGGCGTAGATGGTGAGGGTGAGAGTGGTTTTGCAGCTCCCTTAGTTGGGAACGGTGGAGGCGTAGGAACCCTTTTCATCTGCTCGGGCGGAGGAGGTGGCGGCGGCGGCGGTGGTGGTGGTGGAGGCGCCATAACTGGAGATGGAGATTGTCCCAGAGCCGACTTTCGAGCAGGTCCTGGAATGTGCGTCTGGGCCGCTATTGCTTGCACCGTGATCACCTGCTCCTCCAGGCCCAGATCTGGTAGCTCTGGCAAATCGCCGAACTGCTGCGAAGGAGCTATCGGTGTCTGCTCTTCAACGGGTTCGTACTGCAGATCATTGGCTATGCCAGGAAGATCGGGCAGATCCAGGGGGACATCCATGGCGGGGGCAGCCAGGGCGGCAGGATTGTAGCGCAGATCTCCGGCTGGCGTAGCCAATTTGGTGGTGCCATGGGCCAGCGAGTGCGGAGCCGGAGCTAGCAGCTTTTCGGCAGTAGGCCGCGAGGACTGACTGGCTACGCGACGGGCACTTTGCGGTGGTAGGGAGCGCTTCCAGGCATTTAGATCCTCTCCATAGGCGAACTCATTGGTATTGAACCGCATCAGTGAAGGCACCGAGCGCACTCCGGTCATAGGAAGTGCTCCCAGACCGGCGGTGCGATTGGTCATTTTCCTTTCGGACACCAGCGGGGATTCGTGCTCCCGGTCGCCACGTACGTGGAAGAAGATGTCCCCATCTTCTTGCTTTTCCGAGGTGCCGAGGCCGCTGTAACGGCGGTGAGGCTGTTGCTCGACCTGCTCCTCCATCAGCGGATTAGCCACCACCTGTGGAAAGGTGGCCGGCAGAGGAGCCAGTACGTCGCCAGCCGGGAAGCAAGCGGGAGCAAAGATCTGTATAGCTCGCTTGGAGCCAACGAGCGCATCGATTTTAGCCTGGGCGCGCTTTACACGATTATTGATGTCCTCAACCTTTGAACCATTTCTCGCCAAGCGGGCATCGATTCGCTCGAAAATTGAGTTTATTGTTTTGTGGAGACAGTCCAGGGACTGGGCTGCTTGGATTATAGTGTCCTCATGGTGCAGGTCAGTGGCGATTATGGACACCTGGTAGGGGCTGTGCAGGTAAGGTGATTCCTCCATTTTTGTTTTGACAAAATCACATATTTATTGCGATTTTTGCTGGGTGTTTTTAGTGGTGTGACCGTCGCTGACAATTGATGAAATTATCTTAAATTTTGATATTGTTATTCTTAATAACTGCGTTACTCTAAACGCAATCAAGCATATCAGTAAAATAAATACAGATTAAAATTAAAGAGAAAAACAAATAAAAAAGCAGTTTTCTCTGGAAATCCCTTAAATATTAAGTATATTTCGACTTTCACTGTCTGGTAACATTAGTAAAAACGACACGGAGGCAAACGACATCAATTAATTTAAGTCGAAGTTTTTATTTAAAACTAGTTAACTCAAAATGGACAAAGTAGTTAAGTTTGCTGAACCCGGACGTGTCTTCGCCAAGGACTCGATTCGGCTGGTAAAGCGCTGCACGAAGCCCGATCGCAAGGAGTTCCAGAAAATTGCCATCGCCACCGCAATTGGCTTCTGCATCATGGGCTTTATCGGGTTCTTCGTGAAGCTGATACACATTCCCATCAACAACATTATCGTTGGCTCCTAGGCGGCAACAGGTGGCCAAGAGACTAAGATGAAGAATGCAATAATAATATAATGTAATGATTGCTTCCTGATGGAACTAGAAAAATAAAAATTGCCATTTTTGGATTGTCTAAACATACAACTTCGGGTTTGGGGTTCGTTGTCATAAGAAATTCTTTAACAAAACCATAAATTATGAAACATAAAGAGTTTCCATGTGGACATGACAAATTCTATTTAAGTTTCTTTAAAGCTTATTTTTTACTTTTTATGCGGGGCATTCTCAAATTAATATTTTGTATTGGCCTAAAATGCAGCTAATTAGTCCCTAATAAACGGCGCTAAAAATTCTTTACAGAATGTCCTTAATGCATTTTTTGTATGTGTGAAATTTCTAAAACCATTTTGTGTTATCGCACTACGGTCACACTTAGTCAAGTAACTCAAAAAAATACATCGCAGTTGTTACGTGAAAATTTTCAGACGATAATTACTAAGTATTTGTTGTGTTTTAAGAAATTTTTCTTTGCAAAAGTGTCTGGCAGTGATTGTACAAATGTTATAGGATAAACAGGTATGTTATCGAAGGATATTGTCCATTAAAAAGTGATTTCAAAATCATGCGAAAGAAACGCGTGTGCATGTGTTGGTAACTTAAACGTGGCTTTGCAAGAAAATATGTTAATTTGGCTTTTAAAAAAGGGAGTTCCGCGATGAGCTTAAATTTTTGTTTAACGTTACCAAAACCTGCAAGAAAATGTACAGCATGCACTTTGTTGGCTGTCTTTTGGCTGCCCACAAAATGCGAAAAATATGCCTCATGGCCGCCATATTGAATTTTCAAGGAATCTGTATAAGTGTGTGTGTATGAGTGGGTTTTTTTTGTTTGTGGACGCGAATGATTGTTTACCTCCGATATGGACTGTATAGCCGGATATCGGATGTTTTAATATAGCCATTTGAATTAATTGTCTAATGACCAAATCCAGTCTTCTTCTAGTCTTAAAATCGTTTTAATAAAGGTCAAATGGAGGAAAAGAGTGTTCTATACTAAATTTTTGTAGGAGGGATAGATTTTTTTTATCAAATTGACACATTTCTTGCCCTATTTTTTACACTTCAGCTAATTGTTCTTGATTATTTTCCGTTGCAGCCTGAACTTATCAACTGCGATTACTTGAAACCAAAAAACTTGATCAAAGACAGGATCAAGGTTAGGAAGTGTACTATGGATCAGCTATTTCAGAGCTACCGCGACGATGAGCGGAGAATTGGCGAGGAATACCTGTCCAGTCTACAGGACCTCAACTGCAACAGCAAGCCGCTCATCAACATGCTCACCATGCTCGCAGAGGAGAACATCAGCTACGCCCACATCATCGTAAAAGTGGTGGAATATTATATCAGCCAGGTTAACAAAACAAAAGCGTATTTACTTAACAACCAAGACACTCCAGCTCACACACAGCGAACAGAAGGTCGACACAAAAAGTGCTTCTCCATGTCGATATTGTGATAGAATGTGCAGTTTATTGTTTATGGTTGCCGTTTTTTGCAGGGAAACCCAACGATATTTCGCCCATATTTCAATGCTTTTTCTGCTTTCGTTGGCTTTCCTCTGCAAACAATCGGGCTCATGTGCTAGATACTTTCTATATCTTAATATTTATCATAATTTGGGTTTTAAGACTGACTGATTTTAATCCTCTACAAAAGGTAAGAAGTGTAACGTGTTCCTCGTTTCTTAATTCTTTCTACTTTGGATCCGTGAGATTAAAGATAAAGAATAACAAACAACCAAAAAAGAAATCTAAGAAATGGAAAATAAAAAGAGAAAATACTTAAACAATTGTCACCAAGTTGTCTTTTATTTTATACAAAAACACTGACTGCTTACGATCAATCAGAAAATTGATGTGCAGCGATTTTTGTATTACCGAAAAAAGCAAGTTTTGGTAACAGTAAAAACCTTGCGCTTATCTAAAATTTTAAGCCCCAAGTCTTAGAAGTAAACACATATGGGTGATTCCATATCAGATTTACAGTCGATATCGGGAAATTCGATGAGATATTTTTTTTCATGCTCTTTATCGAAAATAAATCGACACGTATTTTTTTATTTGGCTCAGAAAATTTTTTTGACAAAGTTATGATTTTTTGAATTTTTGATGAACTGCCCTTTTTTTGATGACAGTCGCGTTTTCCAGCCCCAATAACTCGAAAACCGTACGTCGCAGAAAAAAATGAATAGGAAGTAAAAATTTCATCCTTCCTTCTTCTTTGCAAAACTTTCGTGAAAAAATTTTTTAAACAATTTTTCACCACAAAAAGTTCAAATGTTTATAACAAATTCATTTTTCTCCAACTTGGACATTTTTGATTTTTTTTTTTTTCACAATAAATCTTTCAATTTCTTCTAATGAACATACTAAAATTTCAGAATGGGATCAAAATTAGTTTTTGAGTTATAGAATTTTAAAGATTATCATGCACGGTCCGCGCGTCAATTCACTTCGCGCGCGCATAGTAAGGGTCAATAAAATGAATTTTTAATGCTATTTAATTCTATAACTCAAAAACTAATTTTGATCCCATTCTGAAATTTTAGTATGTTCATCAGAAGAAATTGAAAGATTTATTGTGAAAAAAAAAAAAAAAATCAAAAATGTCCAAGTTGGAGAAAAATGAATTTGTTATAAACATTTGAACTTTTTGTGGTGAAAAATTGTTTAAAAAATTTTTTCACGAAAGTTTTGCAAAGAAGAAGGAAGGATGAAATTTTTACTTCCTATTCATTTTTTTCTGCGACGTACGGTTTTCGAGTTATTGGGGCTGGAAAACGCGACTGTCATCAAAAAAAGGGCAGTTCATCAAAAATTCAAAAAATCATAACTTTGTCAAAAAAATTTTCTGAGCAAAATAAAAAAATACGTGTCGATTTATTTTCGATAAAGAGCATGAAAAAAATATCTCATCGAATTTCCCGATATCGACTGTAAATCTGATATGGAATCACCCATATACTTTTTTTGGCACAATTTTATGGTTTTGTTTGTATGTACTTACACTTCGCTCAAAAAAAACAGCCTGCCTCTATACGGAACTGAAATAGCCACAATGATTCGGGACACCACAGGATTTATTGAGTTGATTCTTCACTTAGGACCAATACTTCGTAGAAATATTTCTTTGTTAGCCGTTAGCTTGAGTTCGTTGACACTGCATTGGAGATGACTTAAACTATCTTTGATCCCAGGACTGCTTAAAAATACGTCTTCGATGGATGATTGCTGGACCCGCTGTTGTGTTGTCTGTCTGCCTGTTGTCCATTCGGTTTAGTTCCCCAGTCTCTGCCCCTTTCTATCTGTCTGAGCCTCTGCTAGCGACGTTCTGTAGACACTTATTGTTCTTTATTTCTTACTTATTTTACAAAACTTTAAACAGGTGGCGCCCGAATTTAAATTGCCCATACTATATTTAATTGATTCGATAGTAAAGAATGTGAAAAGCAGCTACGTCCAGTTGTTTGGACAATGCATAGTCAACATATTCCTGCACGCATTTGAATCGGTAAGTGGTTATCAGCTCTTGTACGACGTTTTTCTCCATTAATGATTCCCTTAATGCCTACTTTGCAGGTTCAGCACTCGCAGTCGCAGGTGTTGGAGAAGGTGCGGGAGCGAATGTACGCTCTGCGACAGACCTGGAACGAGGTCTTTCCGCCCTCCAAGATGTACGCCCTGGACGTAAAGGTGAAGCGTCTAGATAACAACTGGCCCATCACCGCCAAACAGCCAACTAACAAAATCCATGTCAATCCGGCCATTCATGTTAACCCGGACTTTCTTAAAACGGTAAGATAAAGCTATAGATTCCCTTATCCCACAGATATGTTAACATATTTCTCTTGTAGGGTATGGTACCCGTAATGCCCGTTAATCCTGCACTGCCCAGCGACATGGAGGAGATACTCCAGGCCAAGACTCGCGAACTGCTCGAGCTCAAGAAGCGCAAACTCGAACTTGAGCTGGAGCAGACCAAAAAGCATTTAGAGGAGCAGGAGCGTCAGCTCAACCAGGCCACCGACGCAATGGCTGTGGCTCCAATGATCATGCCTGCCCCAACTGCAGCGGCCATTCGTCCGCCCACGATGGATCCTAGTCTGGCGATGCGTAATCAACGAGCTTCGGGACCGATGGCTAATGCTGTTCCCATAATGGCCAATATGCCAGTGGTACAGCAGGTAAGTTGTAAAGTCCCAAGTGAAGTTAATTAGCAATCTGAAACGGGTTCCTATGTTTGCAGCAGTTTGCCAACAAGCCAAAGGTTAATCCTGTCAATCCGGCGTTGCTAAATTCAGTTCGCCAACGAGATCCGCGACTAGCGCGCCAAATGCAGTCGCAGGTCTCGCTACCAGCAGCTCCGGCCCGCAATGATCCTCGCTTGGAGGCGAAATCGAACTCAACCTCACAGAAATCTAGTCGGTCGCGCAGCAAGTCGCCTGTGCGCAACAGCAGCAGTCGCTCGGGGAAAAGTGGAAGTTCTCACCACAGCAGCTCGTCGAGTCGCAAGCGTAGCGAGTCGAAGAGTTCCACTGCCTCCTCATCCTCATCGGGATCCGAGGTGCGGCACAAGAGCGGCAGCAGCAGCAGCTCCAATCACTCGCCAGTGAAGCGATCGGGCAAGCACTTGTCCAAGGAGCAATCGGATCGCTATGCCCGCAACGGTTCGCCCGCGGGATTGTCGAAGCGCAAGAGCAGTTCGCCAAGTAGCTCGCCCTCAAAATCCAAACGCAGTTCGTCCCATAAATCATCATCGGCTTCGTCGCGAGGGAAGTCATCTTCAGGACGGTCCCGGAGTCGATCTCCAGTGTTCATGGACGTTGATCTTCGTAGCGGAGGCCGCAGCAAGTCACCAGAGCCAAAGGCAGCAGCTCCATCATCATCGGCAACATCGTCAGCCGCAGCAGCATCTAAAGCACCAAATGATTTAGAGAAACGTAAGAAACAACTTTTAATTCTAATCTCACACTTGTTAGCCAACAACCAAGTCGTCTTTGACTCGAAACCTAGCCCTACAGATAGCTTACACGAAGATTCAGACACGATCACCCAAATTGGCGGCACTCTATGGCTTAGGCAGGTGGGAGGGCGGGTTTTTGGAACTGTGTGTGGTTGACTAGTGGAAAAGTTCTGCTCTGTTTGCAGCCCGAAGTCTGTGATAAGTAAAACTGTGATACTGATGTGACGTTCCCAACGATGGAATGTTCAACTTCATGCATATTGATTTAAATTTTGATTTTTTAAAAAACTAGATTGGATATAACTAAATTGTGTCTGCTGCTGGACGGACAGCAGCAACAAATCTGCTTTTGTCAGTATGCGACTGACCAAAATTATTCACAATTTCGTTAAAAAACAATTCCACCAACTGTTGGAATTGCTCCCTTCGTTGTGCTCTGGTCAATTTTATTGGGAAGGGGGAATTTGTTACGTTTTAAGGAAAGTAACCGTCAACCGTTTATTACATATTTTTGCCACATTTTTTTATAACTAATTAAGCGTGCTTTAAAAAATTCATACAAGTTTGAAAATTTTAAACCAAAGTGTAAATAAAATGTGTTTAAAAACCTTTTGCATTCCAAGTTGTTTTAATTAATGCAAAATGTAGCCAAGTGCCGCCATTGGTGTGATTTAGAGTTGATTTACGTTTTGTGAATGTCAATCCAGCAAGTACAACTAAATTGAAAGCGAACCAAAACTAAACCATAATAATTAAACTGTGAAGTATTTTTTGTACCTTAAACCGACTATTGATAAACATTGATTGATTAGATGAAGAGAAACTAAAATAAAATAAAGACTGCAGTTTTAATTTGTTGTTAACATCCATGTAAACCTAAAGTGACCAATCAAGGCTAATTTTAATTGCAAACCAATCCCTGGAAGCTCTATATCCAGAATAACTTTACTTTTATTTTAAGCGTACATTGTAGTTGGCTTTCATGTATAAACGAGCCAGCTGGTTGTATCCGTAAATGTATCCATATTATTTTGTATTTGTAGAACGGCACTTTTATTCCATCTCTGTTATTACCCTTTTAATAATAACTATTTTATTTGGTTTTTTATAGTCTAACATATATTTCGCATTGGTTCCCCAACGGAGCCCGTGGAATTCTTGAGTTATGATTTACGCATTAGTTCCTAAACATTTCTCTAGCCCGATTGTTGTGCCTGGTGTTTGTTGGCCATGTATCCCTTATGATTTGATTATGATTTTGCCACCTAGCCCCTGATTTCATTTGCTTAGCACTTCCTGCCTCACTTCTTCCTGGTTTCCTTGTTAATTTGCTTTTATCTGATTACCACCTCCTCTGCCGTAAGAAACAAATGTGTGCCCACAAGCAAAATCAATTTTCTAGCTACATTTCAAATACTTGAACCAGGCCCTCCTCCAGCTCCTCCAAGTCCGCCGATTATAGATGTGTCGTGCATGGACATTGACTTGAGGCGGCCAAAGACGCCGCCTCCCCCGACATTCGACTCACCGGAAGGCCTCGACAAGAAGGAAACAAATAGCGACAACATCAGCAGCACAATAATACTAGCTAGTGGCGCCTCCACCGCCTCTCCGTCAGCCGCGTCCACTTCCAAATTGCCCGCAAAAGTGTCGTTCAAAATACAAAAACAGTTTAATAAATTAGAAAAATCTACAGCGAATCTATCAACAGTATCAATGCTAAATCCCAACCCCACGACTTTAGTGCCAGCAGCGTCTCTAGTCAGGCAGCCGTCGCCGACTCCATCGACCTCGTCCGTCTCCTCGCAGGGTAATGTTTCGGATGCACTGCAGCAGTCGATCAACAAGTTGCTTCACGCTCAAGGCGTCTCCGGTGCCGCCGAGAAACGTCCTGCCGACGACCTTCCACCGGAGATCGACGGCGAAGAGCAGCCGCCGCAGCAGAAGCGCAGCAAGTCAACCAAACTAGACGCGTAAGTAATTCTCAGGAAAACCCTTTTCAATTTACATTGGTTATACATATCTTTTGCTTGCTTAGTCTCTTTGGCAGTGAGGATGTTGACCTGCGTCGCGAGATTCCAGCCGTAAAACCAGGAGTAATTGTTGTGGAGGACGACTCCATGGATAACTGCGACGTGATTAAGGTAGGATTATTATTTTAAACTTGAGGAACAATTTATTTTATTTTTCTTTGTTTTGTAGCCAACAAAGAAATCGACTTCTCCTCCCAAGAAGGCAACATTGGAGGAATTGCGTGCCAAGTTGGCAAACTCTGCTCGAATTCAAAATAAACAGGTCAAGTCTGGTAAGTAATTATAAAGAAATCAGCCATAATCATTGCAAATCACTTTCCACATCGATAATAACATTAAACATTTACCATCAGCTGACAAAGATCTGGCCGTTTCTAAACGCCTGAAGCAGTTGTCTGAGCTGAAGACCAATGACGACTCTCAGGAGGCCCACGATGAGAAGGTCCGCACGATTCTCAGCCAGGCTCAGGAGATGTACGAGAACCACAGCATGAACCAGGAGCAGTACAAAGACCTTGTTCAGAAAGTGGTCGCTATCAATGAGAACAGCAAGTTAAAGGATCCGCGGCGACGGGACGATGATCTTGACCTGGAGCGCAATGCGGCGAGGGACGCAGTGCTGCGCAAGCGCATTCCCAAGCTGAAGGGCAACGAAAATCATTCATCGGGCTCGCCGCGCAGCGATGGTTCGCCTCGGTACGAGGATCAGCTTGCCCCAGCACCAGAGAAACCCATAAATAAAAGGGACAAAACAAAGCGGGACATTAAGCGTCGCAAGCCGAGCAAATGGGGCGATCAAGTGGATCCGGCAGTGGCTCAACGAACTGCCTGGCAGATTGCCAACGCCAATAACAATAACAATAATAACAACAACAAGCGGGGCGGCATGCAGATGCCCGTCCAGCAGCCTGGATTCCGTGGCATGCCATGGCAACAACCGCCCGCAATGGTGATGTCCCAAACTGGAGTTCCTCCTCCACCGCAACCGCCCTCGATGATGGGCTTGCCGCCCGTCCCGCCTGTAACCATGACCAAGGCTATAAATTCGCTTGACAATCCAATGGCTGATGTGGTTCGTAGCATCACAATCGACGGAGGTTCGAAGGAGATTCGATTCTACAACCAGGTGGCCATCATCTTTATGGATGGCGATCAGCCGCATGAGATCGGTTTCCAGCAGGGTCAGCGCGTGGTCATGATCGACCACAACGACCCATTGCCGCTGAGCTTCAACGACGACTACAAGCCGTTCCAGTTGGATGGGCAGCTTCATCGGATCCGATTCGGTTTCCCATCCCGCGAACTCTACATCGACGATCACTGGTACGAGATCTACTTTGGCGGTCCGCCTGTTTCCCTGCCCATTGGAAACAAACTACATGTCATCAAGGCAGAGGGTCCGCCGCCCAACGTGGACATCGGTCGAGTGCGACGTGACCTGGTGGTGGGCAAGATCAATATGATTGTGGACGCGCATACTATTGTGCCACTCTTCCTGGACGCCAGACAGCAGACCTTCCAGCTGGGCGCGGAGCAGCATTCGCTGCAGTTCGTGGACAGTTTCCAATACGCTCTGTTGGACGGGCAGCTGCAGAAGGTCGAATACGGTGGCCTGCCGAAGGGAATGCAATTGAATGGCGGTCGCAACTGCTTCATTCGTTTTGGTACACTGCCCAAAGGGGTTGTGGCCGGCAAGACGCATGTAGCGGATATGGTGTACATTAAGACTGAGGCTCCAGCAGAGCCACCGAAACCGCCTCCCATGATTGTGAAGCCACCGCCCGTGCTGGAGCAACCAAAAGTGGCTGCCGCTGCTCCTCTAGCTCCGCTTTCCCTGCCAGCAGCCGCCGCTGCTCTAGAGAGCTTAAACATCAACGATCTGTTCCAGAAGCTCGTTTCGTCCGGAATAATTGGTGCAGCAGCTGCTGTGCCAGCTGTGCCCGCTGCAGAGGCTCCAGCGACCAAGGAACCAACAACCACTGCCAACGAAGCCTCAACCGCAGCTGCAGGTGCCACGGCAGCAACTCCTGCTCCAGCTGGTCCACCAATAGAACCCATCAAGCGCATCGATCTTCAAAAACCGGAAACCATCAAAACCCGCCAGGCGGCAGTGGTGGCCACTCTTTACCTGGGAATGCAGTGCAGCAGCTGTGGAGTGCGGTTCCCGCCAGAGCAAACCATAAAGTACAGCCAACATTTGGATTGGCACTTCCGCCAGAACCGAAGAGAGCGGGACTCCACCAGGAAAGCCACCTCTCGCAAGTGGTATTACGATCTCAACGACTGGCGGCAGTATGAGGAGATCGAGGACGTGGAGGAGCGCGAGAAGAACTTCTTAGAGACCCAGGGACAGCCTGGCGGCATTGAGGCGCTTGATGAGATCTCTCAGCAGCGGTCGTTGGACTCACCGGTGCCCACTTGCGCCGCCGGGACGGATGACGTGGATCACTGCTGCGACATGTGCCACGAAAAGTTCGAGCAGTTCTACAACGAAGAGCTCGAGGAGTGGCATCTGCGCAGCGCCATCCGAGTCGAGGACAAGATCTACCATCCGTTGTGCTACGAGGACTACAAGGCCTCGTTAAATCCTCAGGTGCAAATGAAATCCGACAGCGATGTGGACATGAACAACACCGATGATAATGCCATGGACACACTGATTAAAGTGGAGGATGACGATGATGATGGTAAGTTTCAAGATGGTCTTAAGAATTGCTATCAACATCTTTTAATTTAACTTTTTCTTTAGGTGCCGCTAAACCAACGCAAACTGTTTTTGAAGAAGATGACGACGATGTCATCGTGCTGCCCAACGAAGAGCCCAGTGTCACGGAAATCGTCGACGACGATGACGAGGACGAGTATGTTCCCGGCAATGTGACTCGGGCGGACATGGGTAATGAGTCGCAGGAAAAGACAGAGTCCAATTCCGAGCCGAAAGAACCGGAGAAGGATAAGGAGCAGGCTACTAGTGGAGAGCCGCAAAGCGAGTCGGCCAACGAGTCGGATGTGGAGATCCAAGAGCCAAACATTCCGTTCACCGATCTTGACACCTACGTGGAAAAGGAGATGGATGAGGCCACCAGAACGGCGCTGCTCAACGTGAAAATTAAGGAAGAGCCAAAAGACGATTACGAGGAGGACGAGGACGATGGCTTCGAAGACGTGGGCACGGTGGTGTCACTGCTGCCGCTGCCCGAGGACGAGATCTCCATCCACAGTAGCGGTAAGTGTTTAACCAACTTATTTTCCCCAGTAACTGAACAAGTTGCTCAATCGTCTGGCATCCTGACAGAAACGCAAACGCACACCATCGCCTCGTCGGCGTCGCCGGCCACCATTGAGCGGCCCGCATCGGTGACCTCGCTCTCCCTGCCCGCCAACGAGGCGGAGGAGGTTGAGCAGCAGGCGGATACGGTCGCCGACACGGATGCGGAACTGAACGGAGAGAAGCAGGAGTCCACGCACAACCTGAGCGCAGTGGGTCCGGCGTTACCTTTGGCTAGCATAGTTAATAAAATAAAGATAAATATCACTAAGAATACGAGTAGTAATAGTCATAATAGTGCCTCCAACGCCACGACGACGGACTCGCAAGTCTCGGCCATCAGCGTCATCGGTGGATCAGGAGGAGCTGTCGGTGTCGGCGCATCCGGAGCCGGGGAGTCCGCGCAGCAGGTGAACGCCATTCAAACCATTTCCACCATTCCAGTGCTTTGCGGCGGCAACACGTTCGTGCCGAAGATTGCAACCAGCACGTCTTCCTCCAACGTAATCAGCTCGATCTCGGTGATTGGCAGCAGTTACGGCGGAAGTAGCGGCAGCAGCAGCAACGGCAGCCGGAGCACCGGTTCCAGCGCAGCTTCCACTGCATCTGCCTCGCTTCCGGCGGAGTCGGCAAGCCGGAAATCGCCAACGCCGCCGCCCGCTGCCCCAGAACCGGATCCGGAACCCGTCGTTGAGTTGAAGCCCGCGCTACGGAACGCGACGTTGAAGCGGACGAAGAAGGTGCAGAACGGCATCGAAACCTCGGGACTGTGCTCGATCATGTAAACCGCAGGGCTCGGCGACCAAGCGATATTCCTATTTAATTCTTTTCTACGATTACTTTTACACGTTACTTAGTTTTAGATAGCCCGCGAGATTTTCTTCGCCGGAGAGCGACGACTCGTGATCCGTAGGCACCCAGATACTTTCTCGATCCGGAGCTTACACTCGTATACATAATTTATTACCGAAAACAAATAAAACTGGCAAAATTTAATAAAAACAACTTACAGAATAAAACAGAGTATACATAATTTGTGATAACTTGAAAACACTAGCAAACAGATCAGATTTCTTTGACCATTAACATCATGCCGAACAATTTGTAATATTGCGTATTTTTATGGCGACTTGAAAAAAATAAAAAAAAATGAATTGTACAGCAAACATTTAATCTATTTCTTTTTTATGAGATTTAGTTATTTATGGCTTATATTTGACAAAACTATCAAATGCATAATAAAGATATATATTCAAGCAAAAACCTAATTTTTTTGTTATGGGAAAAGATTTTTTTAAATAAACTTGTTATGGTTAAAGGCTAAAGAGAAACCTACCAAAAAGTTTTTGATCATTGATACTTAGTAGATTAGCGCCCACTTTAATTCCTTTCGATTCAGAGTTCCATGGCAATCAGTTCTTTAATATGGTGTTTTGTAACAGTCAGCTTTTTTATGCACTATATTTTGTTTATATGAAATAAATAAGATATAGATATTTTAATGAAACAAATTAAATCTTTTTGTGCATTTAATTGGATATTTAAATAATATATAAGATGCAAGTCTAAAGTGCTGTGTTTTTTAATGTTTTAAAAGAGAAAACCATCGATGGTAATCGATACTACCGAACAAACATCGATATTAGTTCACGATTTGCTATTATATGCACGTGGGGCCAAAGAATTTAAATGAAGTTGTTTTTATAAGAAACTTTAAATTAAAATAGCAGGACTAAAATTCCAACATGTCGTCTTCCTTTTTTCTCAAGCCAGGCGCAAAAGGCACCAAAAAGCGCAAAGTAAGTGCTTAAATCACGAAGTAAAAAGAAGCACCTGTAACGCTCTCTATAGAATCCCACAGCAACAACAAAAGGAAAGCCCGTAAAAAAAGGCGGAAAAGTTGGAAAGTCTGCGCCCTCAGGCGGCGGACCAGTTCCGAAGAAGCAGCGCAGACCGAAGGAGGAGGACGAGGAAATAGCCAGTGACGACGACGAGTATAACAGCGATGTGGGCGGCGATCAAGGCAACACATTGGCCTTTTCCTCCGACGAGGGCGAGGAGGAGACTCCGCAGGATAAGCGCCTGCGTTTGGCCAAGCAGTACTTATCGGAGATCGAGCGTCAGGAGGCGGATCGCGCCGAAGATCGCGAGTTGGCCCAAAACGTTGAACAGCGCCTGCAAACCGAGTACTTGGACAGCGTGGGCAAACTGCGCCGGAATATCGCTGGTAGCCTTAAATCCTGCGAATCTTCCCGTATCCTTAAGCACAAGATCCACCACACGCCCATCTGTGCACTGGCACTCAGCCCGGACGGCAAATACCTCTACACGGGAGCAAAATCGCAATTTCTCCTTAAATGGTGCACGGAAACGGGGAAAGTGCTGGAGAAATCTGATGTCCTGTCGCATCGTGAGGAGCCCGAAACGGGGAAGAAAAGGCGCTCCCACGTCGTTACCATCTGTCTGTCCTCGGATATGAAGTTCCTAGCCTTGGGGGAGGGTGGTCCCCACATCCAAATCTGGTGCCCGCAGACGATGAAGCATATCAAAACATTGAAAGGGCACAGGGACAGTGTGGCCGGTTTGGTCTTCCGCAAAGGAACACATGACTTGTACTCGGCGGCAAAAGATAGATCGGTGAAAATCTGGTCGCTGGATGAGATGGCCTACGTAGAGAGTTTGTAAGTGGGGAAACCTTGTAAGCTTGCACTACCTAATTGCTTTCCCTCTCCAGATTCGGTCACCAAACGGGAGTGACCAGCATAGACGCCCTCAGTCGAGAACGGGCCATTACCGCTGGCGGTTCCGATTGTTCTCTGCGCATCTGGAAAATTACGGAGGAGTCCCAATTAATCTACAACGGACATAAAGACAGCATCGAGTGCGTGAAGTACATTAACGATGAGCACTTTGTCTCTGGTGGAATGGACGGGTATTTAGAAGCCATTGAAGAAATAAGAGAATATTTAATTATTGTGTGTATGTTCGTAGGGCAATAAGTTTGTGGAGCGCCCTGAAGAAGAAGCCAGTTTGCACGACGCCATTGGCACATGGAGTGGGGGATAATAGCGTGGCCAACTGGATAACAGCCATTGCTGTGGTGGTCAACACGGATTTAGTTGCAACAGGTAGGGATATGTTTAATTTCTTTTTAAAAAATACTAACTTATTTGATTTACTTTAGGATCTTTTGATGGTTTTGTCCGCCTCTGGCAGACAAATCCTAACGCGCGCAAGATGCAACTCATCGAGAGCATACCCATCGCTGGTTTCATCAACGGATTAGCCTTCAACGCCGATGGCACCAAGCTGTTTGTGGCCACCGGCCAGGAGCACCGCCTGGGTCGCTGGTGGCGACTCAAGGAGGCCAAGAACCACATAGTTGTAGTCGACGTTAAATTACAGAGCGCGGCCAGCAGTTAGGTTATCTTTTAGGCTTAAGTAAAGTTGTATAGTTGTTTTAACATGATGCGTCGTGAAAAAATATACACAATTAAATAAGACATTGTGTGCCTGAAAGTTTAAATTTGAATACTTTTTTTTAACGGGAATAATTAATTTGATATTTCAGAATAAATACATTTTGGGACTTATCTATTTGAACAGCAATGCTTTTAACGATATATTGCACTATCAAAAATACTTTTTTTTTCTAGAATACCCCTATTATATGAGATTTGAAGTATTTTTTAGACGAGTTATGGTCACCCTGCTGCTATTACAAAACGACCAGATGAAATGCAGCCGAAACTAAAAGCCGGTGGGGGATTATTTTCCTTTTTTAAGACTGAAAAAGGCCGGAAACTGGTCTTCTATGCGGCGGGAGCTACCACAGTTGGACTCTTTGTGGGAAACTTCCTGCCGCATACCTTTGGCCTAAAGTATTACCGGGAATTTGTGCAATGCTATCAGTAAGTGAGAATTTGGCCATGCTGGGAAACCATTAAATTTTTCTTCCATTGCAGAAACGGCATCGAGCGCCCTGTATCGGAGGCAGTGCAGCAGCGCCTAGAAAAGGCACTGGACCAGTTGGGTCTGGAGCCCTTTGAGCGCAAGTTTGTGCGGCCCTTTACTGTCTTTGGATTCGATCTCTTCCAGGCGGGTACCACCAAATTACGATTCGGAGGCGCCCTTGGCATACCCGTGAACTATGCCTATGCCAGTCCGGAGGAGATCAAACGGGCCGACATCCGCTTCAGGGATCAGCAGATCAACTGGAGTTCTCCCAGCGGAAAGCTCCTGGAGGAGGCGATCGTCTTGAACGAGGATGAACAAATCTTCGGTCTGAGCAAAGCTGTGCTGCAGCTTCAAACTCATCGGGTGCTCCTAAACTCAATATTTCCCAGCGTGAGCTTCCTGATGGTTTACACCATGGGTCACTACCTGAACCTCCGACTCGACCTGTTTGCCCGCCATGGAAGCGTAAGTTAGCTGGAATTCGAAAAATCTATCTATCTAACTTATTCCATTTAATAATCGCTTAGGTACGATTCGTCTTGTACAGTATCCTGGGACTCTTTGGCATAGGACTCTGGTCTTTTATGAAGGATTACAATCAAGTGAGCACGGACGCAGAGATTGACAAGCGGCTGGCCAGCATGGGTCCCGATTTCGTGGCTGCCGGAGCCAGCTACTACGATAAGCATTTAAAGAAGAACATCGCGCTTAGGGATCTGATTGGAGATGATACTTACACCGCCCTGGGCAACGAGAACTACATGCTCCGCCAGAAATCCATGCCGCTTACAGCTCGAAAATCCTTTTTCCTGGAGAAGCTGAATGAATTAAAGAAAGCGCAAGAGGCAGAGACCCAGTAAAGAGTTAAGTTGTTAAGTTTTTATTGCAAATTGAAAAAAAAAACGTTTCCAATTATTATACAAATATCTTTTTGGTGTAGCCTATAACGAAGGGACAGTTGTCCTTAACCTAACAAATTTCGATTGGATTGGTTTCCAAGAAGTCTCGTAAATTGACTAGCATAATTTCTAACGCTGGAAGTTTCGCATGGAACGCTAAGATTGCAAGAAGTTGATTATTCTTAAAAGGTTTCCTCGCCCACAACATCGCTTATGGTGGCCACCAGGCGCCGGGCATGTTCCACTGCACATGTGGCTGTCACCAGTCCCAAGTGAATGCAGTACAACTCGTAAACGCGCACTTTTGCCGGCGACAGTTTGGGAAAGCACAATTCAACCAGATCGTGGTAGTAGTCCATGGTTAGAGCGCCCGGTTCTGTTGGAGATTTCGAGCCGTTGCCACTCGCTGCTCCTGTGGCCAAAAAGTGCTGCTGCAAGTCCAGAACGGAGTTTAGTGTGCCACCCGACAAATCCTCGAACCAAAGGAAGTAGGAGTAGTGAAACGCCTTGTCTTTCCACATCACCGTAGTCTGGCCCTTCTTTAGATAGCTCCTAGCAATCTCCACCATGCTCCAGAGCTTTGTCTTGGGCACCAACTGGTTTGGTCGTAAATCCGGTGCCAGCATTTGTCCGCTGCTGCGGTTTACATACATGAAGTGCACCAGCCCGGGAAAGTCCTCCAAGTAGGCATCGATGGATATATTGCGAGTAGCCTTAACGGCCAGAAATTCGGCAAACTCAAGCAGCTTGGCCTCCACATTGGCCGCAGTGTCAGAGAGTTGGTCCAGTTCATGGACACTAGAGCTGTCGCAGCATGCCAGCGTGAAAATCTGCTTAAGTTCTTCTCCAAACGAGGGCAGATTTGACTCAATCCTTACCAGAAGTTCCCGCTCGAAGTTCTTGAAATACTCCGTGTACATTTTCTTTAGATTTTCCCATTTAGCGGCGAACTTCTTTGTGCAGTTCTCCAGGTCATCCGTTTCTGAACGCTGTTTTATGTATTTCTTTAAAGCAATCAGGGCTTGAACTATGAAGGTTTCAAGATTTTCGTAGGCCGGCTTAAGGGTATCCGAATCGCCTTGATGCTGCACGGCTACAATCTTCTGCAGCACATAGAAGGAGTCGTAGATGCAGCTGGTCAGTGGCATGTGGGCGTACTCTATGACCTGCAGAAGCACCTGGTTGCCGTGTAGGCGAGAGATGTGAACGATGCTTGGAACGCAACCAGAGTTCACGTCGTACGAGACGCCTTGGAGGAATACAGCCACTGCCCGCTGGGCCGGGGACTTGGGTGCCTCGAGGGAACGCGACATTAAGCTGAGGAAGAGCAGGTCGGCGGCGGCGAGTGGCAAAGCTTGTCTGGTGCTGTTAACGGCCACCAGCTTATGGGAGACCAGCAACATGGTGTGGGCACGGGGCAAGCCCAGCTGTCTCAGGTGCTCCAGCGTGGCGTCCAATGTAAGATGCACAGTCCTCTTTAGCTCCATGTTGATCAGCAGCTTGGGCATGGCTTCCAGCAGGTATGTCTGGTCTTCCTGCCACAGAAGCGTCTCGTAGCAGTCAAGGCACTGCGTCAGCAGCTCCTGTTGCATTGCCCCCGCCTGGGAGGCAAATAAGTTTGCACCGTAACAATAGCGGCTTAGAGCAATGGCCACGCCCACCTGTCGCCCCAGCAGATCTACGGGAATTTGTCCGATCTTGAGAAAGGTGAATCCCAGAAGCTCGCCGAACACCAAATTAAAACCCTGCTCGCATTGTAGGCTAGAGTAAGCATTGTCGAACTGACACTGCATTATTCGCTGGGATCCGATAATGGGGCTGAAAATTTGAAGCAGGATGTTGCTGTCCAATGCGCCTCCGGATCGGAGTAATCCCTGCGTTCTGGCCACATTTGAGATCTTTTGGGTTAACGGCTCGTTTAGTTTTTGATACACAACGTCGTTGGCACTGTTAAACACAATCAATCCGTTCATTTTCTTATCAGCATCAATTAAGTGCCAAAACACAATACACAAAACTTTCACCAGCTTACGCTTTGATAAGGAATATGACGTTTACTTCTGGCGTTGCACAGTACTAACTCTTTTTCAGTATTTTATTTGTGTGTAGTATTTTTTATTAATATCCTAATCTTTATAAGAAAATAATTTATATTTAAGCCCCTGAGACTTAAATTTATTATGAATTTCAAAGTTATTTTTAAGTTTATTTGTATTGGTTTTCGAACATTTTTGTAGGTCAAATCAAATTATTATTATATTTCACAACACAGCTAACAGCTGACTGTATGTTTTGCTCTTCTTCTTGCGACATGCGCCTTTGTTATCAGAACTCGGAAAGACAGTGATTTATCTACTGATTTAGCACTTCAATAGCAATGGGACGACTTATTTTAGAGCACACGCTGCAGGGGCACAAAGGACGCATCTGGGGGGTGGCCTGGCACCCCAAGGGCAACGTGTTCGCCTCCTGCGGGGAGGACAAGGCGATCCGTATTTGGTCACTTACCGGAAACACTTGGAGCACAAAGACCATTTTATCCGATGGCCACAAGCGCACCATCCGCGAGATCCGGTGGTCCCCGTGTGGCCAGTACTTGGCCTCGGCCAGCTTCGATGCCACCACAGCCATCTGGTCGAAATCTTCAGGAGAATTCGAGTGCAACGCCACTTTGGAGGGTCACGAAAACGAGGTAAAGAGCGTTAGCTGGTCACGATCCGGTGGATTGTTGGCCACCTGTTCACGAGACAAGTCCGTGTGGATCTGGGAGGTGGCCGGAGACGATGAGTATGAGTGCGCCGCAGTTCTAAATCCACACACACAGGACGTTAAGCGGGTGGTGTGGCACCCCACCAAGGAGATTCTGGCTTCCGCCTCGTACGATAACACCATCAAAATGTTTGAAGAATCTACTGTGGATAACGACTGGGACTGCACGGCAACGCTGTCTTCCCACACGAGCACGGTTTGGAGCATTGACTTTGATGCGGACGGTGAGCGCTTGGTCTCCTGCAGCGATGATACCACGATAAAGATCTGGCGGGCATATCATCCGGGCAATTCTGCCGGAGTGGCCACCCCCGAAAAACAGACCGTCTGGAAGTGCGTATGCACTCTGTCTGGTCAGCATTCGCGGGCCGTGTACGACGTATCCTGGTGCAAGCTGACGGGTCTGATAGCCAGCGCCTGTGGTGACGATGGAATCCGCATCTTTAAGGAGACGGACGATTCCAAACCAGACGAACCAACGTTTGAGCAGCTCACAGCTGAGGAAGGTGCCCACGAGCAGGATGTTAATTCGGTGGAGTGGAATCCAGTGGTAGCTGGGCAACTTATTTCCTGCAGCGACGATGGTACCATAAAGATTTGGAAAGTCAACGAGTAGCAGGCCGAATTATGTGTTTTATGTTTAAGTGGTTAAACTATAATGAAACTTTATTTTTTGTACATTTTCTGCCTAATCGAAAATTAAAGTATTCATGAGGATGAGGAGGATAACTCTTAGTTTTTGGTGCTACTTGCTGAGGAAGGGCTCTTGCAGGGTTTTGTACAACTTTTTGGCCTTGCGAGGACCCAAGCCCATCACCTGGGAGAGTCGCTCTTCGCTGGCGGTGATTAGGTTGCCTAAATTGCCAAATGTTTGCAACAGGGTGACGGCATCTGTTTTGTTCACTGGCTTGATGTTGGTAAGAGCAGCCACCAGCTGAAAGCATTTGAGGTGTTCTCTGATTATGCCAAAAGCGGGAATTTCATCACTAGCATTACCTTTTGATGTGGGTTAGATTCCACTCGCTCCATGATCAAATCCGGCGGGCGCTTCTCAAACTGTTTGTAGGTCTCAATGATTTTTCCGGCCTCCTCGGCATTCCAGGCCAGCATCATGGTTAAATCGGCCAGTAGTGAGATCCGGGTCAAGCTCTTAAGGGCATTGTGTGGCTCCGGTGTGTCTACTTGCACCAGAAGCACCCGTAGCTCATACATCTTGCCAAGAGTCTTCAGCCGCTGGCATATGTAGTCCGGATTGAGATTGTAGTACTTCAGGGATAAATAGAGGACGCAGGATGTTCGACCCACAACATAATCTGGCACGATGTCATCGCGGAACTCTAAGGGAACATTGAGAATGGACTTCAGGATGGGGTTCCCGCGCTGTTTGCTGTGGACAAGTACGCTGTGCGGATTGGAAGGCGCTTTGGCGGGTGTGGGACAACTGGCAGCGCTGCTGCTTGGAGTCTCCACTGGCACAGTTTGCGGAGCTTCAACCTTGGCTTGCTTGGCTGCTGAGGGCATTTCCATCGAGCCGAGAACATCGTTGAAGGAATCGTCGTCAAACTCATCCATTTCTGTACTTTAACTTTTAAAGGAAGCTCGTTGCAAAGCAAGAACCTAGTGACGAGCGCACTTGTAACAGTAAAGTATGATATGTTTTTTAGCCCAATTTCTAATCCTACACCACATAACATTATAACTTATAAAGTTTAATATTTAACGTAAAATTACAATCTCATAACATTTTTAGGTGTTTCATAATTCATTAATAATTTTGTAAGCAGACTAATTCGTCACTAAGTGGACGAAAACGCCAGAAATCGTGCGACCGTTTTTTGAAATCATTATTTCCTTAGCGTCTTCGTATATCTGAGCTGCGCAACCACGGTCACATTTATCGCGGCAAAATTTTGACGCCGAATTAAAAGAAAAGAACGCCGCGGATTGGGTGATCTCCATCGCATTAAAATGTATGTCAAGAAGCTTGTGCTGGACGGCTTCAAGTCCTACGGCCGACGCACGGAAATTGACGGATTCGACCCGGAGTTCACAGCTATTACGGGCCTGAACGGCTCCGGAAAGTCAAACATCTTGGATAGCATCTGCTTTGTGCTGGGAATCAGTAATCTGCAAAATGTAAGTGCCCATTGGATATTTCCTGGTACATTTTTTACATTGTTTTTCTGCACAATAGGTACGCGCCTCTGCTCTACAGGACTTGGTGTACAAAAACGGACAAGCGGGCATCACCAAGGCCACTGTTACCATTGTGTTTGACAACACAAACGCCGCCCAGTGTCCGCAGGGATATGAAAAGTGCCGGGAGATCTCTGTGACCCGCCAGGTGGTCGTCGGGGGCAAGAACAAGTTCCTCATTAATGGCAAACTAGTACAAAATAAGAAGGTGCAGGACTTCTTCTGCTCCATCCAGCTTAACGTCAACAATCCCAACTTCCTCATTATGCAGGGCAAAATCCAGCAAGTGCTGAACATGAAGCCAAAAGAGGTGCGTTTCCACAGCTTACCAAGTTTTCCTTTTAATAATTATCTCTCAGGTTCTGTCTATGGTGGAAGAGGCAGCTGGAACAAGTCAATACAAAACAAAAAGGGATGCCACCAAAACACTGATCGAGAAAAAAGAGACCAAAGTGAGGGAGACCAAGGTCTTGCTTGATGAGGAGGTGCTGCCCAAGCTGGTTAAACTTCGTCAGGAACGCTCTGCCTACCAGGAGTATCAGAAGATCTGTCGCGACATTGACTTCCTCATCAGAATTCACATTTCCGCTAAGTACCTCAAGCAATGTGAAACGCTGAAAACTGTTGAAGCGAATGAAAAGAAAATCGAGGATCGCATAGCCAACTGCAAGGCAACGCATGCCAAGAATCTCGAGGAGGTTGAAAATATCGATTCGTCGGTAAATGATATGCAGCAGCAAATCGATGCAGAAATGGGCGGTTCTATACAAGATCTAGAAACACAGCTTAAAGCTAAGCGCGCACTGGAGGCCACTGCCTCGGGTAGTTTAAAGGCGGCACAGGGAACCATTGAGCAAGATGAGAAAAAAATTCGCATGGCCTCCAAAAATATAGAGGATGATGTACGTGCTCTGGGCAAAAAAGAGGCGGACATGGCTAAGGTGCAAGGCGAGTTTGAAAGCCTTAAAGAAGCAGACGCTACGGACTCCAAAGCCTATGAGGACGCTCAAAAAAAGCTGGAGGCTGTTTCGCAGGGATTATCCACCAATGAAGACGGACAGGCCTCAACGCTACAAGAGCAATTGATGGGTAAGTCTTTTGTGGAATATTTTAAGCCATTTTACTTATTTTTCCCACAATTTACAGTGGCAAAGGAGCAATTCAGTGAGGCACAGACTACTATTAAGACGTCAGAGATGGAGCTGCGCCACACGCGAAGTGTCTTACAGCAGAGGGAAGGTGAGACGCAAACCAACGATGCCGCCTACATTAAGGATAAAAGCCTGCATGATCAGTTGGTGGTAGAGATCAAGAACCTGGAACGGCAGCTGCAAGGCCTCAACTACGAAGGCGGCCAGTTTGAACAACTTAAACAGCGACGAAACGATCTGCACATGCGAAAGCGCGAGATCAAACGAGAACTTGATCGATGTAATGCTTCGCGCTATGATTTACAGTACCAAGACCCGGAGCCCAACTTTGATCGCCGGAAGGTTCGCGGCATGGTGGGCAAGTTGTTTCAGGTCAATGACATGCAAAACTCTATGGCCCTTGTGACCACTGCGGGAGGAAATGTAAGTTACCAAATAATCTCATGTGGATTTTCCTTTAAAGTGCATTTATTTTTTAGCTATACAGTTATGTTACGGACGACGACGTGACCAGCAAGAAAATTCTGCAGAGGGGCAATCTCCAGCGTCGTGTTACTTTGATTCCGATCAATAAGATTCAGTCCGGTTCGCTGAGTAGAAACGTTGTGGAATATGCTCAAAACAAAGTTGGTTCTGAAAATGTTCAATGGGCCATGTCGCTGATAAACTATGATCGCTACTATGAGCCGGTGATGAAGTACTGCTTTGGCGGAACCCTTATCTGTAGAGATCTGGATATAGCTAAGCAAGTGTGTATTCTGTTTACGATTTGTAGAATATGATTTAACCTGATTGCTTACAGATTAGCTACGATCCGCGTATTAATTGCCGTTCGGTGACTTTGGAGGGAGATGTTGTTGATCCCCATGGCACTGTGTCTGGAGGTGCTGCTCCCAAGGGCGCTAATGTCCTGGAGGAACTGTATTCCATTAAGAAAATAGAAAGGGAGTACAAGGAGATTGACGCTGAGATTTCGCAAGTAGAGGAGCAAATGGCGTAGGTTTTTTTGGAAAATTATTTTATGACAATATCTAACCTTTTTTTTATGTTAGATCCATTGAAAACCTGGCCCACTCGTTCAACAAGATGAAGGAGAACCTTGAGCTGCGCCAGCACGAGCTAACCATGTGTGAAAATCGTTTGGCCCAAACGACCTTTCAGCAAAATCAAGCAGAAATAGAAGAGATGAAAGAAAGAGTCAAGACCCTCGAGCAGCAAACTGCCGCCGCCCGAGAGAAGCAAAAGACTTCACAGGCCAAAATCAAGGATATCGAGGCCAAGTTGGCAGACGCTAAGGGCTATCGTGAGCGTGAATTAAAAGCGGCCACCAACGAAGTAAAACTCACCAAGCAACGGGCGGAAAAGTCCCGGACTAACTGGAAGAAACGAGAACAGGAGTTTGAGACTCTCCAACTCGAGATCACTGAGCTGAAGAAAACGATCGAAACAGCTAAGCAGCAGCACCAGGAAATGATCGACAACCTCGAGAAGTTTAAGGCCGAGCTGGACGCCTTGAAAGCAAACAGCTCAAGTGCCGCATCCGAAGTGACAGAACTGGAGCAAGCCATCAAAGCACAAAAGGACAAATTGAACGCGCAGAACAAAGAAATGCGAAATCTGCTGGTCAAGAAAGATAAAATGCTAAAGCAGAATCAGGAGATTGAACTTGAGGTTAAGAAGAAGGAGAATGAGCAGAAAAAGATTAGTACGGAGGCCAATGAGGCAAAGAAACGGATGAACGCTCTTGAGACGAAATATCCTTGGATCCCGGAAGAGAAGAACTGTTTTGGCATGAAGAATACCCGCTACGATTATAGCAAAGAGGATCCTCACGAGGCGGGCAACAAGTTGGCAAAGATGCAAGAGAAAAAGGATAAAATGGAACGCACCCTCAATATGAACGCCATCATGGTGCTGGATCGCGAGGAGGAAAACTTTAAGGAGACCGAACGCCGCCGAAATATTGTTGCGATGGACAAGGAAAAGATCAAGAAGATCATTGTAAAGATGGATGAGGAAGAGCAGGATCAGTTAAAACGAGCGGCTACCGATGTTAATGCTAATTTTAGCGGGATCTTTAGCTCACTTTTACCAGGTGCTGATGCCAAACTTAATCCCGTCTATACCAATGGCTGTTTGACTGGCTTGGAGATCAAAGTTGGCTTTAATGGAAAATGGAAGGAGAGCCTGGGTGAACTTTCCGGTGGTCAAAAGTCCCTGGTGGCTCTATCCCTCGTTTTGGCCATGTTGAAGTTCTCACCGGCTCCCTTGTACATTTTGGATGAGGTAGATGCCGCTCTAGACATGTCCCACACCCAGAACATTGGCAGCATGTTAAAGCAGCACTTCACCAATTCGCAGTTTTTAATTGTATCTCTCAAGGATGGTCTCTTCAACCATGCCAACGTATTATTCCGAACGCTCTTTGCGGAGGGTGTGTCCACCATCACCAGACAGGTCAGCAGACAGGCAACCACCAGCAAACGCTGACTTTGGTGTCGCCTAATTATTATAGATAATCTCGTCGAGCGGAATTACTTTTTTTAAAAGTTTTTTCAGTTTGAATAAAATATTTCTTAAGCCGTAAAAAATAAATTTCAAAGCGTCAACAATGCTGATTGCATGTTGTTTTCAGAAAATTTATAAAGTTGAATATTATTTATAAAACAGAGTTCTATTTTTAAAATAAAATGTACTTTTGTCAATATGTGGTTTATTATTATTTCGTTATTAATTCGTAATTAATCGTTACTCTATCTTTTAATTTAAAAAAAAGGAATTAAATATAAAGTTTAATAATGATTTGGCTTTATAATGATTTTGTCGACTTTTGTAAAATTCAAATTCAGTAACGGTTGTTTTCGCATCAGCTGATTTCCAACCGGGCGGGCGAAACGTCAAACTGGTGAGACCGTCAAACGTACACACACACACGTACGTACGCAACACGAAGAAGAAGAAGAAGCACCAACAGCAATGTTTGAGGGAGTGAAAAATTAAACAAAAATCGACGAAATTGGCTAGTTAAATATATAGGCCGATTAAAAAACAAATCATCAAGATTTCTAGACAACGCAGACTCCTTCAGAAGCTCACAATGGTAATTTGCAGGGCCCAAAACTGGAAAACATTCGATTGAATCACACACACATGGCCTGCGTACATGTGTTTGTGTGCGGGGAGCAGCAAAAATTTGTAGACACCGCTGGCATTTGGATAAACAATAGCAACAAATGAGTGCTTTTGGAGGCGGGAAATTACGGGTTGCTTTGGAAATACTTGAATTGGAATGTTTTCCTTTCCAGGATCGAGTGACCAAGCCGCAGAAGAAGATGCTCATCACGTTGCTGCGAGAAACCAAGTACATGGAGGGCAAGAAGGAGAAGGAGTGGTACTGGGAGAAGATTCAAGCGGCCCTCAACACAATTGGACCCAAGAAAACCATCATCCAGTGGAAGAAGGTGAGTTGACCATCTAATGAGAGTCCAATCGCTAAATAGAATTCCTTGCAGTGCTGGCGGGACATGCGACTGACCACCAGGAAGAAGCTGGCGGAGCTAAAGCGCTGTCAACTATCTGGAGGATCTCCTCCGCCAGGCATCGAACTAAACCAGGAGGACAACGACATCATCGACATTGTCGGCACCGAATACTTCTACGAGGAGATGAACGGCGAACTCAAGGCGGAAAACTTTTTAACCGGCTTGGACTATGCTCCGGAGAATTTGTGCGATGTCATTCTTACGGGAACTGTGGGCCATCACCAGCATAACATGCACCAGAAGGATCCCCAATCCCATGCAGGGCAGCAGCCGCAGCAAGATCATCACACTAATGATGGCGAAACCAACGATGCTCCCGGGTCTAGTAACGGTGGCTCGTATCAGGGCCATCCTGTGCCACAGCTGCAGGCCCACAACGGGGCAGGTGGAGGGGGAGGAGGCGAGCATGGAGGTGGTGGCCAAGCGCACTCTGGAATGCTGCAGCATCCTGCTTTTCATGGTGGCCTGCACCCGCACCTGTTGAGGCGTCAGCATGGCAGTGGATCATTCTCCCGTGAGTCGCCCTTCGAGGAAAAGTTGCTGCAGTTCATGCAGGACGCCTTTCCCAAAAAGAGCAAGAAGCGTAAGAATCGAGATCCGGATAAGCTCTTTCTTCTTTCCCTGTACGAGGAGATAAAAAGGGTTCCCGAGGAAATACGGCTTGATGTTAAGTCCGAACTAATGCAGATACTAAAGAAGTACCAGAAGAAGTCGCCCGTCAAGGCGGAAAAGTCTACGCCCTCGTCAACGTCAACATCCTCGAAACTGAGCTCCAGCAGCAGTGGCAGTGGTAATTCGGTGACAGCGCACTTGTCTCACAGCATGTACCAGTTGCAAAAGAAGTACGAGAAGGGCGAGCGCGAACCGTCGCCTCAATCGCAAGTGGAACGTGTGTCCGCTGCAGGATCGGTGGCTGTGCCCCTCCATGCATCCCAGCAGCTGCCCCTCTTTCAGCTGCAGAAGAAGTACGAGGAGAGCGCCGTGGAGAAGGCCCACCAGCAGCAGCAACAGCAGAGCGAGCAGCGGAAGCACGTAGAGGCCGCCCAGGCCCATCATACTGCCCACCAGCAAGCGCCACCGCCCCCACCCAACGAGCAGCACCTGCACCATCCCCAGATGACTCACAACATTATGTTCCCGCTGGGCCAGCTGCGTAACGAGCAGCCGCCTGCGCAGCAGCACCAGCATGGCCACAATCCCCACCAGCAACAGCAACAGCATCCCCACCAGCAGCAACAGCAAGGTCAGCAGCACCATCCGCCCACGATCTTTGGCCCGACCGCCAGCGACCGGCCAGCGATGTCCTACGAGAACGTCGGATGAGTGCTGAGCCGTCTGTGGGAAGCCACTTGTGGAGCACCACGCCCTGCGACGGTGTCCCCCACGACGGCAGACGCGCACCACTGTTAGCCCTCGATTTAGACAGCAACTCGTAGGTCTCATTCTTATGCTAGCCTATACCTAAGTTGTTCACTTACTACAAAGGGGTAATAGCTTAGGAAATAGAAAAGAGATGCTTCTTGTGGTATCTTTTTAATCAAATTTTTTAGGGATATTACCAGTTTGTAGCGAGTCGAGCTATGATCCTCATGTAAATGTTTCCTTGGCAATAACAGCGCAGCTTAACTGTGAATCAAGTTCACAATAGATCGCGATGCGTGAAAATATCAGTGTAAACTTAAATATAATTGTATCTTTAAACTGTGCTTCAAATTGTTGTTAGTAAGGCTACCTGTGTATATATTTTCGTTACATTATTTGTTATCACGTTATCCTGGGCTTCAGTTGAAATTGCAGGGAACCAATTTTTTTGGACCTATGATACTTTGCCGATGGGGGTAATCTGAGACTTCTGATTTATAATCTATTATCTTGTTTGCTTCAACTTTGCAAAGCTGTAAATCCAGCAAGCGGCCGTCGTTAAACTGTCTCCTGGAATATCTAGTCTCCGCTCTCGAAGCGCGATAAGCAAGCCCACGGGGAGCACGCCATATCATAAAGATAGTCCAACAGCTGACCGATCCGATCTGCCTAAATGCGAATTTTATCTGAGCGCGGGGCCGAACGCCGAACTCGTCGTTGTCTGTCGCATGCACGGTTGCAGGTTGATGAGCGATCACGAGCCGAGCTGCAGCATAATCCGCCAGATCTGCGGCGCTTATCAGTAGCGTGCGGCGGGGATAAAGATACACAGATACTGGCGGACCTGGCTCTGGCATTCTATTGCGGCGGCGGCTGGCGGCAGTTGATCTTCGTCGATCAAAAGGCAAGGACTGCAGTTCCTGCGAATGCAGAGTTCCAAGTTCAAGTGATCACCCTCGCCAGCACAAACCGTCCACCATGGCCCAAGGTACGAGAATGATCCGAAATTCGTGTCTTACCTCGAAGTTGTTGCAAGATCGCAGATCTGGCTCAAGACCTCCAACTGAGGCACAACCACAAGTTGGCGCTTCGCGTTTCATGCACTCACCTTTGATCTTCCAGTCGAGGCGCGCACTGTGCTGTGGTACATGACATTCATCGGCTTCATCGTCAACTACATGATCCGGATCAATCTAAACATCACCATTGTGGACATGATTGCCTTGAATCCAACCCAAAACAGTTCCCTAGAGAACTCTACACACTTGGCTGCCCTTCCGGAATTGAACGAACGATTTTCGCTGGAGCGCTGGTTTATGGACTGGGCGAATGTGAGTATCGGATCGCTGAATCATTGGTTAAGTGCTTAATGAAGCCACTAAGTGATGCGGCTTGTGCAATAACGGGGCGTATGAGTAATGTTCTATGATTTTGGCAGATTCCGTACGAAAAGAAGGGATTCCACTGGGACGCGAAGCAGCAGAGCTCTCTGTTGGGCTCCTTTTTCTGGGCTCACTGGACCCTGCAGATCCCCGGCGGCATCTTGGCCACCAAGTATGGCACCAAACTGGTTTTTGGCTGGTCCAATGGCATCGGTGTGTTCTGCTGTTTCCTCATTCCGATCGTTTCGTACTGGAGCTACACAGGATTGATTATCCTTCGCGTGTTTCAAGGATGGGTAACGGTAAGTTGTCCTGGAAGTCCCGCTGTTTTGCATGCTAATCTGGACAATCTCCACAGGGATTAGCCTGGCCGTCGATGCACGTGCTCACTGCCAAATGGATTCCGCCCAACGAGCGCAGCAAGTTTGTCAGTGCCTATTTGGGAAGCTCTGTGGGCGTGGCCCTGTTCTATCCGATCTTTGGCTACGTAATCGACTGGACCAGATGGGAGTGGGTTTACTACATGTGCGGCATCGTGGGTACCCTGTGGTTCATTGCCTGGCAATTCCTCGTGTTCGACAGTCCAGCGGAGCATCCTCGCATCGCCGATTCGGAGAGGAAGTACATCGAGAAGTCCTTGGGAGCCTCTATTCAAACTACTAAGGCACCGACTCCCTGGAAGGCTATAGCCACCTCCCGTCCAGTTTGGCTAAATGTGGTGGCGCAATGGGGCGGCATTTGGGGTCTGTTCACCTTGATGACCCATGCGCCCACTTACTTCCGGCAAATTCATCATTGGAATATCCGAGCAGTGAGTTACCAGAGGACTGCCTTTAGCATAACCTCATTTTACCTTCCACCCTTTATTTCATAAAGACGGGCTTCTTGTCGGGACTTCCGCATCTCATGAGGATGCTCTTTTCCTACGTGTTCTCCATTCTGGCAGATTATCTCCTGCGAACGGATCGCCTTAGTCGCACCAATGTCCGCAAGTTGGCCACGTTTATTTGTAAGTAAAGCATTTTGGCATTAAGTTTTAGGTATGAGAATCTAAATTGGATAATTATTGTATCCTTTTTTTGCAGGCTGTGGCCTTAAGGGTTTCGTGGTCTTGGCCCTGGCTTACTATGGCTATAATGCAACAGCTGCCATTGTGTTGGTTACACTGGCCACCATGCTCCATGGAGCGGTGTCTTCGGGTCCACTGGCTTCCATGGTGGATCTGTCGCCCAACTATGCGGGCATTGTCCTGGGAGTGAGTGGAATGATTGGCGGAATGCCCGGCTTTATATCGCCCTATATCGTGGGACAGATCACCTACCAGAACGTGAGTTACAAACTTTTCTTATGAAAATAATTTTATAATCTTGAATTGGTATTTTTTCTCCATTTAGCAAACGATTGAAGCCTGGAAGAATGTGTTCCTGATCAGTTCGATGATGTTGACAGGCAGTGGCATCCTGTACGTTCTTTTCTCTGAATCCACTCTGCAGCCGTGGAACAGTGGCTGCCACCAGTTGCCCGATCCCGGGCTGAAGGAGCTCCAGAACCTGGGAGCCGGCCAAGATGAGGAGGAGAAGAAGCCCCTAAAGGCTGATCACGATGAGGAAACCCATAACGTGGCTGAAATGGAGACCAAAACGAAATCTGAGGGCGATGAAAAGTGACAAGGGGCAACCTCACTCTAATTTATTGGCGTAATTCCGTGTTGGTTATGGCACCTTTCCGAACAACGTCTGACAACTCTTATCGCCATTTTGTGTAAATAATTACCCGAGAATTCGGGCGAGTTTAGCATCTCCAACCTCTAGATTTAAGCGTGTTGTTTACCTAAGTAGGATTAGGTCTCTTTTCCTCAGAGATTCTGTTTGTCTACTGTGTGCTTTTGGTTAAATATAACAAACAACTTAAATGTGTTATTTACTAGTTATTTTTATGAGAAATCCTTAATATTTAAGTATTTTTTGGGTTCAGACTGTCGTCAATCTGATAAGAGTGGTTTTATGATAACGGAAGCGTTCCGCTACTGTCTGGGAAATTTTTTAATCCAGCCAATAAAAGTTTAGATTTTTGGGTAGGATAAACAGAGGTCACGACTTTCTTGATTACCAAACATTTTTATTTTCTATTTCATTTTTACGCGAAGTATCTTTTATTTGGTTTAGTTATTTCTGTTTTTCACGTAAGCGAGTTTCTCTTAAAATGTTCTTATTTACATCATCTGATTCATCATGATAAGAGATAATAATTTTTTAGAAGGGTTATTAGAGGTGTCTTTATTGTTAGACATCTAAAAATGTAAGTTTATTTTTAGACACAGTATCAGGGCTTTGGGTGATAATAAATAAAGGTAAGTCTCTTGGTTACGTACGAAAATTATTCCACTGTGCTCTAAATATTTGTTTTAACTATCTAGGTTTTTTCGCTATACTCTTTTCACAAACTTTTCCCCTTTGAAGAATAAATTCAGGATGATCAGCTCCAACAATCCGTAAATAAGCTAATGAGACCCCCACATTACCCACAAAATAAATAAATGATTCGGCAAACTGAAGTTAATAATTGCAATTTAAATCAAAACTGATTGAACCGGAAAATCGTTTTCCCTTTTCGGCTGGCGTTTCTCTCATTACTCATACCACCCGTTGCACAATTGGAAGTTCCGACGGAAAAGGGAACCGAATCAAGACGTGGATGGATTGCTAGAGGTCAGAGGAGGCAGGACAACCTTTGCTGCTTCGACTTTTTTACGTGCTTGCATTTGTTTCATTGGCGTCCATTTCCGATTGCACTCCAGGGAGTCGTAGATGTCAGTCCCCGTCTCCATCTCAGATGCCCTCACCCCCTTCCACACAAACCCTCGACTTCCTCCTGGCCACTTCACGGCTTGTCCATTTCGGTTTTCGTCTGTTAAGCCAGTCGATGTCTTGTCACTTGATCCTTGAGCTTGAGCCAGCGAAGTCCGGGCATTGATAGAGATTAATTGGTTTCCTGTTACGTTGCGCAATAGGCCGATAAACTCAAGAAGGTGGCGGAGTGGAGTTCCATAACGAGATTATGTCGCTGATTTTCCATTATCAGCTGGGGATTAAGCTTCCTGAAATGGAGAACTTTAAGGGAACTTTAAAAAAATGATATAAATAATAATCGTAAACTTCAGAATACAGGGTCTAAAAAAACAGAGTAAGGTATTAAAAAACTTTGTTAGTTTTAAAGATATAAGATTTCACCTAACTGAAATTCTTTGTTTGCCATTTAGATTATTTATTCAAATCACAAATTATCGTTTATTTAATCGCATTTCTTGCCTACCATCTTAATGCTTATTGAATGTGAAAAGTGCTTAAGAATGTTCCCCGAACCCCGAAGCATTACATTCCCATTGCCATTTACATTATCTCCGATCTGGAGAGGAAAACTCTCCTTGGAGATGTTGGTAAGCTGTAAACAACAGTTAACTTCAAAGCTGGAAAAAAAATTTCGCACGGATTTGCGAACGCAAATTCCGGAGGAGTTGGAGCTACGCAAATTTATGCTCACTCCGCAAAAAAAAAAATCAGAAGCAAACAAAACAAAGCGTAGGAAAAAATGTTTCCCTGGCAGGAAGTAAATTCAATCGTAAACAACGCAATCAAAAATTCATTCAAACGAAGCATTAACGCTTATTCCGTTTAGTCTGCGGTGGGTGGGGATTGGTGGGTGGTGGGAGGTAGCTTTTGGGTGGTGGGTGGAGTTCTGTCTCATTGTCAGGCAAGTGCAACAAACACAAGGGGGAACCCGCCAAAAAAAAAAGCGTGCAACTGTCTGTTTCTCCCTGCTTTTTTAATTTTCAATTTTTTTCCGCATACAATTTTTTTATTTTGTTCACTTAGGCAGGTACATTTATTATGTGGGCATGCGAACGGTAGGAACTTTGCAGTTCCGGGCACGTCGCTTCATAATTTTCCATTTCCATCTGTTAAATGGGAAGCGCCATGAAAAGCCGCGAATAAATTTGTGGGTGTGGATACCCTCCCCATCCCACACACTCACGTGCACATACGTGTAGCTAAAGGTATCCGGAACAATGAACACACGGATAAGTATCCGCGGCAATAAATTTAATTTGCACAGCGAAAACATCGCAAATCCATTTTTTATACCATAAATTCCTTGGCTCCCCAGTGGCTGCATTGGGGCTCAACTCCCCACTCCCTCCACTTGTCGCTTTTCCGCTGTTGTTGTTCGGGAACGGATTAATGGATGTGCGAACATGCATATAAAGATGAACCCGCTTCGGATACTCGGAAACTGGTAAGGATTCACTCTGAACGAGGGGAGTTGCCCGTCCTTTTCAATTTAAAAATGTTTGGAGTGGGTTGTTTTGGCGGAGAGGGCTGTGACACAATTTTAAAAATAACTTACTTTATATACAGCCAATCTTCATGGTTAGATATACTATAGATATCCTCCCACTTTCTAGGCTTGTAACCCTAACTTATTAATTAAACAATACCTCTTCATTAATCCTAGATCACCTTCCTCGAGCTGAACTTGTTCATTAGCATTAAATATTTAGACCTGGCCACTCGCTCTTTGTCATAATCTTTAATTTACACCGAGGTCAGTCATCTGTCTTGATATGGGCACCACCACCATCTGGAGTTATCCTGCTCCTCGGAAGCCACCGCCCAGTCACTCAATCATAAATATTATTAATAATGTGTGCGGTTTGCGGTCTGCGGAAGTTCTTGAAACGCGGAGTGGGAAGTTCTTGTAGTCTGCCAGAGCCTTTGGCTAATTTATTTAGTCCCGAGGTCGGCACATACGAATCCGAGTAACTTTGCCATCCCAGAAACTTTGCTGGGCACACACATATACAATCCAAATGGGATTACAGAAAGGAGCAGGAGAAACTTTCTGTTTGAATTGGCAAAACTAGAATTTGCAGCGGAAAACTTTCTTCGGCTTCAAGGCGAGGTTAGTCGCCTCATTCCTCGGATTTGGATTTTCCCGCATCAAAATGTTAAATATGAAAGCCACTTAACGGAATTTCTACGCCGACTGAAGCCGAAGGCAAATTAAAGTTGTCACATTAGGTAAATGAACGAGAATAGGGGATGTCGGTGGGACGTGTCAGTTGAAAGCCTCGCTCCTTGTTTTAATCTTGAAGATATAACTTTGGCGCCGGCGATGATAAATCATAAGCGAACCGCCCGCCCGAAAAACAAAGGAAAACCCCGGTCGAAAAAACCGCACACAGGCGAATCCAGGACGAAAGGACCAAGGGGACGCACACACAGACAACTGGCAGCCGGAAAAGGGGGCGGGGGGCGGTGTTTTCACAACAATATGTGAATATGTTATTTGTTCTGGGAATTGTGAAAATCTCAACAGGTCCCCGCACTTTGCATATTATTTTTAATACGCAGGACGAGGCATCCATCCAGTGGCTGGGATCCCTGCCAGGTCAGAGTTGGCCAATTTCCTGGCTAGCCACAAGCTTGCCGCCTATTTGGTTACGATACTTGTGTTTGCCAAGACATTAAGGACAAGCCACATTTGACAGGACTTTCCCTCGTTTCTTGTATTAAGGCGGGCAAATATTTACATTAACTAATAGCCTATTGCAATTTAAAGCATGTGCTTGATTAGGTATTTTTAATTTTGAATCATTTTAGGAATCTGCGATGAACATCATAATTATTGATCATGGTAAACTAGCTTTTCCTTTCAAATATTGAAATGAAATGTTTTAAGAAAAGAGTCCCGAATTTAAAGCTATTTATCTAATTTATGGTTTCTAATTTAACTTTTTCCTTTTCTTACAAAACTAAGATTCTTATCTTGTTTTCCCTCCTTTTTAAGCTAACCATCATAAAACTCAGTACTTTGCGTTGCATTCTTTTGATTTCATTGATGTTGTTTTATGAATATTTCAGGCGAAGTCCATTAGAATTATTTGGATGTTCGGCTGGTTGCATTATTCATGAGTGCATGCAAATTGAATTGCGTTGGACACAAAACAGGGGAGAATCCAGTGCGGAAAAACAGGTGGAACAGGAGTTTGCGGATTGCGAATTGGTTGAGGAGCGGCAAGGACCTTGTCTACTGTTGTATCCTTAGACTACCACTACCGCTCACAACTCAGCAATTCCCCGGGTGAACATTCATTCTGATTATGCACACACATCGATATGAATAACACATTCCAATCCATTCGACTCCGTCCCCGAATTCGGAAACTTCATCTTCGAGGAGCAGTTTGGTGGCAGGAAATGGAGCAAAACGGCGAGGATTCAATTAAGCGACCACAATTCAAATGTTGACGTCACAGTTTGGGCCTTATTAAATTATCATTCGATTATGCCATTATGTTTGCCGATTGCCCCTGAATCACCCCAGCTAATGGCACATCCGGCGGAAGTTTAACGATGCCATGACCCCGGGGTTGTTGCCAACTTCTCTTGTTGCCAACTCAACGCAAGAAAACCCTTTTCCGTTTCCTGGAAATTTATCTCCTCCCTTCGCCTTTTAACTGGCGAAAATTCCTCGGTGCTGAAAGTATCTCTCGAATGCGAAATACATATATCTGCCGGAGGTAATGGAGCAGGAGTTGGCATCCCATTAAATGTAACGATTATTATCTCACGTAGCACCATTTTGGGAATTTTAAATATGGAAACTGCTCAAATTGTCCTCGAAATGGGCATCGAAGTGTGTGCAAAAGTGAGTTTGCATTTTTGAACAGGTGGAAAGCATCTTTTGGATGGGGAGAACCTAAGGACATTCGAAATGATGTATGTGAATTCGACGTAAGGAGTTTTATTTTTCAGGGGAGGTATTAATTTTCTATTCTAACTGGCTTTAAGAAGTATTTATAGTATGTATAGAATAGACTAAAATAAATATATCTTTAACTATACTTTTTGTAGCCATAGTTTTTATATATTTTAAACAAGTTTTACCTTTATTTAAGCTCTACTGACAATTCTCAGTAGGGCTCTATTTCCTTGTTACGATTCCTTTTATTGACGTAATCTCAGCTGTCTTTAGTTTTCCACTTTCCTCCAGTCAAGGAAAACTTGAAATTGCTTTTCTTCCTGTGACACTTTTATTTGCTCACTTTGGTGTGGCGACATTTGGCACATTTCAGCCATCAGAAACACCACCCAACCACCCAACCACCCAACCACCAACTTTGCAACCCACCCACATCAATTGCGGCAATTTGCCAATGAATGGACACTTCTAACTGGCAACTTTCATACCAATTCCATGGCCTTGGGGCGGAACTTAGTGACCGCAACCCTTTTTTTTTGTTAGCTCTTCTCCGGGACGTGCCACGTCCTGTGTCCTTTGTCCTGCGTCCGTCACTTTTGTATACCTCTGGGTGTTTATCCGGTGGTCCGAGCGCCAATCAAGCGCAAAACCGTTTTTGACATGTTCGGACGGACGGACACATCGAACGGTTGGACAGGCGCCAAGGCTGACCAACCAACCAGGACCACAAGGATGCCCCAAAAACCAGGACGAGAGCGAGGACCAACCAGCAGCCAGTGGTTAGCAGCGTGCTTTTGTCCGGACAATGACAATTCAATTACAGAAATGGAAATAGCGGCTGGCATAAAAATCAAATAAAACCTTCATAAAGTGCTCCGGATGAGCAAATAAAATCAGTGGGCAATGTCAGTTCGGGTTCGTGATGGTTGCCTTTTTGGGTGCCGGGTGTAGAGCGTTTCCAACTGGAGTTTTGGTTTTGATTAAGACCAGGAACACACACAGAAAAATGGATGTACAAAAATGGTTAAGTATTACTAATTGAAACTTATTCTAACTATCTTAGAATGTAAGTTGTAAGTATAAAACGCAACACTTTTTAATAAGTTTATACATGTTCAGATTTTTATTCTTTTAATTTATTTACGTATTTGAATAATATAATTTTTTTTGTGTGTATGATTGTGCCGCATCGAGTGGCATTTATTGGGCCATCTATGGAGCCAGTTCACTCGACCTCTGAGCTTTTGCGGTCATTTGGCAATTGGCGCCATACGCACGTGCCCTTTTCCCTGGCAGGCTCGTAAAGTTCCCACGCACTGGGAGTTCGAGAATGGAGCACACAGGAAGCGGAAGTGAAAATCGAAATGAATTCAATACCGCTGACCCCTTTGCGGTTCGATTTTGGTGTTGCGGTGACCCCGGATGACACCTAATGCCCTGCAAACTCTCCTGCCAGCGGTTGACACTCTTAAAGTCGTGGAACAAATTGCAGGCGGAGTTTAAGGGGAGGTTGGACCATTGAAAATTCATAGCCAAAAATTTATTCATGGTCTGCCCCACCGACTCTCGGGGCATTAATATTTAAGCAGCGTCGTTCTCGGCCGACCTGCTCCTGCCTGCTTTGGTCCGCCCGCCTCCTCAGCCGACAGATCCTGGCCTGCTCGGGGTCACCTTTTTTTTTTGTTTTTTGTTTCGTGTTTGGCGGCCCTGTCGCAAAGTTTGCGCTTCTGGTCCTGCGCTCCTTTTCACGTGGCTGTCAGTAAAAACGTCTCGAGGACATGAGGGCAGCGTTTTTTATGGGCCAAACTTGGCAGGGCCGATTCAAAGCTGATGCCTATGTGGGCTAGTGCACAGTAACCTGAAGTTTAATAAAAAAACTCATGCTATTACATAGGTACACAATGCTTACTTTAAAGTTAAATTCTTAGCTATAGTAAAAAATTAAAAACTACAACTTTCTTTAAATACTGACATATAATAATTTATTTTTTTATTTTATATTCAATGTTTATATAGTTTCGAACCACTGTGCTGACTTTTCTTCGACAGTTTCCACCCCTCGGCACCTGGCCATGTTGTCTTTGGCTGCCCAATTTGTAACCCTTTAAACCGTCTGACACGCGTATAATGTGACAGAATGTTCCAAACTACACATTAATTTTTGATCAAATGGCTTTCGACTCGTACTTGCACTGCTCCTGGCTCCTGGCTCCTTGCTCCTTGGTCCATGGGCCCTTCCGGAATCCTTGAACGCTTCGAACTGCGAAGGGCTGTCAAATGTCATTGGGAGAGCAAGTGCTGCGGCCCAATGAAGTTAAGTTATCAAGTCGGCGGTTAGCCGCCAAGCTGGAAATTAATGAAATTTTTTACGTTCTTCCCGCCCTGCGGCGATTGGCCGAGGTTGCTGGCCATCGGGCTAACAAAAATTCATTTATTTTCATTTATTGTTTCACATTTCCCCGAGGACAGCGAGACGTTGCAATTACCGCAGAAAAGAAACTCACCCGAAACGCCACGAAAAAATATTCAGCTTCTGTCGCCGAGAAAAGTTTGAAAAATATATATAAACATTTTTTTGTGTTTCCTTTTTCGCGGAGATGGAATTTTATTTACTTTTTACTGCCCAGCCGTGTTCATAATTCTGTTGACTTGTCCCGTGGATTGTAATTTTTACTGCAGGACAAGCGCAAATACATAATTGAATAAGCCCGAGTTCAGGGCAGTTTTCCCCGGGAAAAGGGGTGAATGGGGGAAAAAGGGGGCGGGACAAAAGTTTTAATTCAATTCCTTGTGCGTTGTTAACTTGAGACGTCGACTCTGAAGTTGATTAATTTCGCATTTTTACGCTTGATTATACGACACCCGTGGAAGTTGTGCTTGCTAGTTGCTTCAAGATTTTCTTTTGGGGTTTTCCTCCTTTTTTCGCCTTGAATTTTTCACGCACACACACTCGGCGAGTGAAAGGATGGGAAAAGAGAGGGGAGTCCTGCAAGGAAGGAATCTTTTCGTGGCTGGCAAAAATATGGCGTTGAATCCTTTGGGAAATTTCGATATCACACTTTGTTCAGCGTTCTCGTCATGCCCACAAGTTCATTACACATTCGCCGGAGTCGAAATGAGCAAAAGTAATGGGAAATGCACTGGTCTCTTGGTTGGGGTATTTTTTCCGAGGGGTTGGGGGCCACAGGCAGGTTGATTAACCAGTCTTAGAGGCACAACCCCCAGATACATGTGTGCCATAAAAATCGCAATTATTATCTCCTCCATTCGCTTCTGATTTGCGGAGTCGAATGAAAAGTATCTGTCAGATTTCCTTGATTGCGGATGGATGATTTCGATGTAATTTGCTGATTGTAATTATAAATGTTTAATTATTCACGATACTATTGATCCAGTTGGTGTTCTTTATAATAAATTTGTTCATTGTTTGAGATATAACTTTATAACTTTATCTTTATCAATTTTTTATCTTTGATTGGATTAACCTTGTTCTTTTGCATGAGTTAAAGAACAGTTTATTCCAGATCTCTGCATATCAATAATAACATATCATATTCTATATTTGGTCGGGAGAAAGTTCTATAGTTTTGCGAAGAAAGCAGCAGAACAAAGCGAGACAAAGGCAAACGACACTTGGAAATGTATTCGCAAGAAAGCCGCCGAAAGGGGAACGCCATAAATCAAATGTATCTGCGCATCCAGGTATCTACGTATCTATGTATCCACTTATCTATTGTTGCCGTATGTAAATGCCAGACAATAGTTATGGCTACGCGGGACTTAATTATCAGCGACACTCGATTGGATTCGCTGGCGAATTAGCATATGACAAGGCCAGTTAACAGCTAGCTGGCAAAACAGTTAGTTAAACTCCGCAGATGGAGTCAGAGATGAAGATAGATGCCATGTAATTACCAGAGCGCAGAAGATCGCAAACAAAAAAAAAACCCAAACAATTAAGGGAGAGAATTTTTAAACTATGACTCAAGCGGACTTATGCCTTTGTTTCAGTTTCTAAGTTTAGACATGGGTTTATTGCGGCAATTAGCAGTTATAATATTAGTTTTATGACTACGACTACGATTAGGGGGTAATAATTTAGACTTTACGATTGACTAAGTATAGAAGATCACAAGATCACCTCGAATCGCTGATCCCGACTGATGGGCTCCGCCTTGCTCTTCACCAGATATTTGGCGAACTCCGACTGGGAGCGGAAGGACTTGATGGGGAACTTGCCGAAGCGACCGTTGGTCTTGGACACCACATAGTAGACGGGATAGGGGCCCGGCGTCATCTGGACGGGTAATACTTGACCCTGGACCTCCACCTCCGTCCTCCGGGGCAACAACTCCCCGGATGTCTTAGCGTCCAGGTTTAGCTGCTTCTGCTGCTTGAGTTTCTGCTTGGGAAAGGCTTTTAGTTCGAATTTCAAGGCTGGCTCGCTCGCATCTTCACCACTGGCGGCCACATTCCCGCCCATTAGCTTCGCTGGCCTGGGGCGCCTCTTCCTCATCTGCTTGGAGTCCACATACTGCCGCTGGCTACCTCCAGATCCCGATCCGGATCCCGATCCCGATCCCGTGGGGGGTTTGAGGGTCTGGATCTGGAAGAAGGCCGAGTTCATTTGGCTGCCGGTGTTGTCTTTCTTGGGCGGAAGGTCCTGCGGATGCACGCGGATCACCTTCTGCGTTTGGTTGGCTATGCTGATCACATCCTCCTCGATGTCCGCCGACTCCTCGATGGCCAGGGATACATAGATCAATGATCCCAGGAAGAGGCAGAAGAGCTAAAGGATGCGAAGCAAAACAATGATCAAAATATAAATATATAAATGTTGTATCACTAAGCTAAATTACATTCTTTGTTTATCCTATAGTTAGGATACAAAATATTACTATATGTAGTTAAAAAGTAAGCACAATAAAAACTAATTCACAATTTTCTTTAAAAACAGTGATTGTTTGCAAATTAAAAACCAATTGTTTATCATCCTTCAAACCACAAAACTATTAATGTAATTCCACGATAAAACTCATTAGGTTGAAGCAAAAATACCTTAGACAATAGCGTCATATAAATTTATTTTGCCTACGCCGTGGGCGATCAATCAATTGCCAGCAATTACCATAAGTCGATGATTTCCGAACATCTTGTAAGATCAGTTGGGTAAACAATGTTCCTCCGGCTGCGAAGCTTCTGTGGATTCCGCAACTAGCGACTGGTGTTGGATGCTGCCGTTTGACGACTGAAAACACTGGAGCCCGGCGATCGCTGTAAGCTTTTGAGCTGGGATCCCAGATATACCCCCCACATATATTCCCCCCTCCGCGACACGATCTGTTTATAATGGAGTGTTTGGTGTTTTTTGTGGCGCGCGCTTTTTGTAGAAGCCAGAACAAATAATGAGCCAAAAATTTGTTAGTTTTGTTTCGTCTTTTGTCATTTGTCTGCGCTTGCCTCCTCCATCCCGAAAGATCCCCAAAAAAACCGCACAGTGGGTTGGGGTACAGCAAAAAATATGATTCATTTTCTTGGATAATTCGAGATGGCTTGTCTCCGATTCAATCGTTGATTAATTTGTTTTGACGTCGATCAACTCGGCTTTTACTCCTCCCTCTTTGAAGATGGGTATTGTTTTTAGCATTTAATATATTTTTATCCCCCAGTTAATAATACACAAATCAGGTACATTTACTAGTTGGCTTTACGAAGCAAATATTATAGATAAGAAAGTCGTAAAATTGATTGATTGGTACTTTAAGAATTTATGTTTTAAATAGTAAATTACATGTTGTTATTCTTAGTCTTATTCTTCTCATAATATTTTTGTAAGAAAGGGTAATAGTTAATGTTCCCACTTTAGTTATTAATTACGAATTTATTGCATACATTATCATAATTTAAACTATCCAATAAATCAATAAAAAAATGTTTTCTTCTAATTTGCATTTCTTTCATTCAATTATTTGAACTTATAATTAATTCCAAGAAAGAGTATTCAATAAATAGAAACCTGCGTAATCGCTTTGCTTGAACATCATTAGGCGTGCAGTACTACGTATTGTAATGAAATTATTTATGATAATTGTTAATGCCTCAGTCACTGCACATTGTCGTCCACTCGACGTGTGCAAAAAAAAAAAAACGAATAAGCCGGAGTAATAACAAAATAAAGTTTGCCAGCGAAAACAATTATAATTCAATTGTATTCAGATGGGAGATATGGAAGTCATGAAGCCCATGACTCAATATGATTCTGTTCCTAGTTGAGGTTTCTGGTTTTGGGTCTTGGAACTTGCCGAACAACTCGCGATGAGATTCGAGAGCAGGGAAATAAAGCTTAATGGAATTAGAGATCTTGAACTTAGTGCTCTGGACAAGGTTAACTTTGTGGATTTTAATCTTTTAATTGAAGTTTTGAGTCGAGCTTAAATGAAGTGCTAGAAAAGTCTTCCCAATTGATTTACACACTTGAACAAGTTAATAACTCGCTGATTATGTCACCTGCGTTCGCGATATCTCATTAATATGCACATCGAAATCGGTTTAATGAGAATTCATTGACCCAGTCTGCTTCGCATCGATTCGATTGAATAACTTCATTAATCAAGTAAGAACAAATCAGCGCTGATGGTGATGACGATTATGATAATCATTCGCTGGCTAAAGGGGTCACCGATTTATATTGCCAAAAACTGTGAATCTGTGACTCTGTGATCTATGCATGCGCCAATATAACCATCGTAAAAATTCACTTTGCCATCGATAGTCGAGATGACAAAAACCATTTATAGCTTTCGAACATGAAAGGCAGAGCCAGAGAAAAAAAGAAGCGGAAAGCCAGGGAAATGCAGTCACTCCAGACGGTAATAAAATGCCGAAGGAAAAGCACTGGGACCCAGACAATGGATTCCGTTCTCCATCAATGTCGCGCCATCGATTGTTATTCAAAGCAGCCATAATCTGTGCCAAGAAGTATAGACAAAGTGAATTGGCAGGGAGAAAATGCAGAAGGGTTTAGGACGGGGTCCTTTGGCTTTTTAGTTAGCCAAGTGTTCGGGGAATTGAGATGTAACTCAACAGGTTTTAGCTTTTAAGTCCCTTACTCTCGTCCAAGGGTGATGTGCAGGCATTGCTAATGGATTATTTAAAGTGTCTTTAAAGTTCCACAAATATGTTTATACGAGCGAGTATATCAATGGCGAAAAAGGGGTGTGCACAACAAGGATATCATGTGCCCGAGGCCTTTGTAATTAGATTGCCCGAAAAGGGACCTGATGTGGGTATAGTATATCTTTTACCACCAGAGGTGACCAGCACACAAGACTTGCCCAAACCCTTTCTCTTATTTTGCAGCCAGAGGCTAATGGACACCAAATCCGTGGACATTTGTTTTACTTTTTTGCGGGCAAAGTTTGTCCTTTTTTTTGTGTTGGTTTGTTTTGCGGTCAGCACATAAATTACCTATTAGCTATAGGGATCACATATAATTTACGAGTGGGTAAAGGTTGGCCATAATTACACAGGTGAGAGGATGAGTAGATAAGCTGGCCACAACCCGTTCGCAGAATCTGTATTTTGAAAAAATTAGCTGACTCAAGTAGTTGTTCACTTTTGAGGGTGGCTTTATCCACTTCGGATGGTCGTCTCATCGTCTACTAAGCCCAAGGAGATGCAGAGCATGATTCTCGCTTTTATTACATGACAATTACCCACAATCAGAGGAGCATATGTGAGCCACATTCACACCGCAGTGTGGCACTCGTAAAAAAGAATGGAGCAGCACTTGGCCGGGCCAATAAACGCTGAGTCCTGCCATTCGAAAGTCTCCCCCTCGGAAATTACAAACCCGAAATGGTTATGTCTCCGTCGACTTATCAGCTTTGAAACGAGAACTAGAATGGTTATTTTCGTTGAGAAAGCGGGTGTTAACTACGCAATAACAGTTAAAGAAATCTCTCGTCTTGCCAACAACTTTTCTTATGAAAGAATAAGCTGGGTTTAAAACTAGATATCAAAGGGAAATGTTTAGAAATATGATGAACCCTTTTTTAAGCCCTACTATCAAAACTCCATTTATACATCAGTTATATATATTTATATGCATAATAAAATCTACTTAAAGTTCTTACTTAAAAAAAGGAATTATATGATTAATCGAGGAACATCTACTACTTTTTCGTTTTTACTTAAAATGCTGTCACAAATCCTTTCAATCAAGTTTTAAGCATGAAATGGATTCCTTTACTAATTGTGTGGCATTTTCAACCTAAAAGAATACACATTTAAAGCTCAGAACTTGAGCCAATATTTGTCTTGAATCATCGTAAATTCGTTGCGAAAAATGCTTTTGTTGGCCATTAAAATATTTAAGGGATTGCTGCTGATGGACTGGGCGGTTGGCTTCGCCTCCTCCAAGTTTCCCTCGACTCCACGGCGAGGAAAAGCGGATGGGGTGGCGGAAAATGGTGAGGGGGAAATCCCTGCGTTAGTGTGTGTGTGTGTGTGTGTGCACCTAAATCCCGACAATCGGTGTAGAAGGTGCCCGCCAATGCCGCGATGACTCCGCCCTGAATCGTTTGGGGTTCCAACTTGGAAGTTAGACGAGGTCCTTCACTGCGCAGCTGCGGCAATTTCGCCTCGTCCTGTTGGTGCAAAGCGATTTGGGATGGGGGGCGTAGCCCCAAAATCAGGAGTGGGGGCCACATTCAAGACTGTTTCAATTCCAAAGCGTTTCAAGTTGAAGGAAAAGCGGGGGAGCCGAAAAACGAGGAGAAGTCGGGGAAAGCTGCTCTCCAGTGATTTGAAGAATATGCTGAAAATACTATAATTTCCATTATACTACAGATTTAAAACCGGTTCGGTGCGGACTTCTCTCTACTTGCAGATGCCATTGTAACTTTTATGCGAACAGCACGTACGTATCTGCCAATTAACGCTAATGCAGGAGCCATAATTTCACGCCTTAAAACCAGGTTGAAATCCAGGCGAGAGGTGTGAGTTGGCCAGGCAAATCAACTGGCAAATGGAGCATGTCAATATGGTGGCCTGTCCATCCACATAACACACAGAAACCCCTTCTCGAAAGTGGGAATCCCATAAAAACTGGTATGTGCACATGCACATTCGGTTTGGCAAGGTGCTGATTATGGCCTTTGATATGCAAATGAACCGGTTTTAGAGCCCTCCTGCTTTTACCTGCTTGGCATTAGCACTCCGCAGGGCCGAAACAAATGGCGCTAATGATGGGGCAAGATGACACCTTGTGGCACGTATCATGGCCACTCACATGGCCAACTAAAGACTCGGCCATATCCGAACCCCGAAAAGGGTTCTTAACGGCCGCTTCAACCCCAATTAGACTCATTAGGCAAACTGGCATTACAATGGATACCACTCGCACTCCCCCTAAATAATCTTTACTTTGAGGTGCGAAACGTGGGCGCTGACTTTCGAGTGATTTACGACACAAATTACCGGCTTAAATGGACAAACATGCCTAGTTTTAATCATCGGCAGGCGGATGTGTCCATTAACGGGGCGGGCAGCACTATAAAGCAGTCGAGGTCCCCGCTGGGATCCCCGAATGGGCATTAACCATGTGCGACATAAATTAATTAACCTTTTCTCACATTCCCTTCACGCATTGTTAACCAACATGTTTATGCAAAACTATCGTCCTCGTTTTCGGGATATAAAGGCCTGAAAATATATCTCTGTGGGGTGGTATTAGCCAGGGGTCGTATAATTTCCATAAAACTTACACTTAGTTCTATAAGTAACGCTCAAATCCTGTCATCAGTGTGAAGATAATTAGTATTATCATTTTTAACTATACTTGACGAAGGGTAAAAGATTTTTCTGTAAAAAAAATGATTGTAACAAGAAACATAAGAATCCTTTTTGCGTGTGTTTTTTATACATTTTAAATATTTGATTTTTATTTCATTGCCAGCATACTACAAACTGTGAAGAATCTTTGCATACTTTTAGCGATAAAGCAATTTTTTTTTTTTTTTTTTTTTTTTTTTTACTTTTATAAATGTGGAAATTTATTCAGTGATTAGCGCACTGTTACCAAATTGGCAGCTTAATCTAATCTTTATATACAATATAATACAAAACTATGTCTAAAATGTAATTAGGGCAGGAAGTAAGTTAAAGTTTTTTTTTTTTTTTTTTTTAAATAATAATGTGGGTGGTCAATTTGCTAAGTCAAAATCCGGTCCGGTAGGTCTTGAGGGTGATTCCGTTTGAGTCTTCTTTTGACTCGGTTGCTGGGATTGGTGCTG